TCGAGCCCCGACGGTTCGACAAAAAATGAGATTGACTTCATTATGACCACCAGACGACAACTGTTCAGTGATGCCTCAGTGATCGCGAGGGTGAAAACCGGCAGCGATCACCGAATGGTTAGAGGCACACTGAACCTAAACGTTAAGTTGGAGAGGTCTCATCTAATGAAGTCAACGCTCCGTCCCTCTCGTGCTCTAATCCAAAGTCCCGAAACCTTTCAGCTAGAGTTACAAAACCGTTTTCAGTGCCTAGAAGACTGCAACGAAGTGGACAATTTGAATGACAAGCTCGTGGAAACTGTCCATGCGGTCGGAGCTAAGTTCTGCAAGACCCGCCGCAGAAGAACACAAAAACTCTCCGATCACACTCTTAATCTCATAGCTGTTAGACGGGAGATGAAGCTACATTCTTCAACAGATTTGACAGCATACAGGCAACTGAACAGACAGATCTCCAAATGCATGCGGCGGGACTTTCGCAACTTCAATACAGCTCGTATTGAAGAAGCGATCGAGCGGAACCAAGGCTCCAAAGTCTTTGCCAGAGATCTGTCTACCAGAAAGAGCCAACTGTCAAGGGATGAAGACCGAATGTGGCAGCATCGTTTCCGGGGCACCTGAGATTTTGAGTGAGATTGAGAGGTTCTATGGGCAGCTGTACACGTCATCGTTGGAGCCACACGCAAGTGTGAGTAACGATCCAAGAGCGATTCTTATCCGACATTATTCCGATGATATCTCGGACGTCAGTCTGAGCGATATTAGAATGGCTCTCCAGCACCTTTAAAACGGCAAGGCCTCAGGCGAGGATGGAATTACAGCGGAGCTTCTGAAAGCGGGTGGAAAACCGGTACTTGAAGTCCTTCAGAAGCTCTTTAATTCCGTCCTCCATGGTGGCATTACACCGGAGGCGTGGAGCAGAAGTGCGGTGGTTTTGTTCTTCAAGAAAGGCGACAACGCTCTCTTCAAGAACTACAGACCGATTTACCTTCTGAGTCGCGTCTACGTGCTGTATTCGAGAGTCATTACGAATCGTCTCGCGCGCAGTCTTGACGACTTCCAGCCTCCCGAACAAGCCTGTTTCCGAAAAGGCTTTAGCACCATAGACCACATACATACCCTCCGGCAAACTGTACAGAAGTCCGAGGAGTACAATTTGCCACTATGTCTGGCGTATGTGGACTATGAGAAAACCTTTGATTCCGTCAAAATTTGGGCGGTGCTGCAGTCCCTTCAGCGATGCCAAGTTGACTGTCGGTATATCGAAGTGTTGAAGTGCTTGTACAGTAGGGCTACGATGGCTATCCGAGTACAGAACCAGAGTACGAAACCTATCCAACTGCAGAGAGGTGTAAGATAGGGTGACGTCATATCCCCGAAACTCTTTACCTCTGCATTGGAAGATGTTTTCAAGCTTCTGGACTGGAAAGGATACGGTATCAACATCAATGGCGAGTACATCACTCACCTTCGATTTGCCGACGATATAGTCCTTATGGCAGAATCGCTGGAGGACCTAAGCACTATGCTCAATGACCTCAATAGTGATTCCCAACGGATAGGTCTTAAGATGAACATGGACAAAACAAAGATCATGTTTAGTGTCCATGTCACACCTATGCCGGTAGTTGTTGGGAACACTAAGCTCGAATTTGTTGACGAGTATGTTTACCTGGGACAAATAGCCCGACTAGGTAAGTCCAACTTTGACCGAGAGGTTAATCGACGGATCCAACTCGGTTGGGCAGCGTTCGGGAAATTACGGCACATCTTCTCGTCACGTATACCTCAAAACTTGAAAACGAGACCATACACCCAGTGCGTGTTGCCAGTGATGACATACAGACGTGGTCCTTCACTGCTGGCCGGATGAGGAAGCTCAAGGTCGCTCAGCGAGCTATGGAGAGGGCTATGCTCGGAGTTTCTCTACGTGATAAACTCAGAAATGAGGATATCCGCAGTAGAACCAGAGTGACCGACATAGCTCAACGGATTAGTAAGATGAAGTGGCAATGGGCCGGCCATATTGCTCGAAGAACCGACAACCGATGGGGAAGAAAGGTTCTCGAGTGGCAGCCTCGTACCGGCAGGCGAAGTGTAGGGCGTCCCCCCACTAGATGGAGTGACGACCTGGTAAGATATGCAGGAAGTCGATGGATGCAGATGGCTCAGGACCGTGCTTTGTGGCATTCTTTGGGGGAGGCCTATGTTCAGCAGTAGACTTGTGAAGGGCTGTAATGATGATTATAACTTATAACACCGGTGAAAACTACTCGACAATCGCTTTTAGTTTATCTTTAGGTTATTGTGATAGTCATAATTTTAATTGTTAATTTCTCAGCATTCCCGTTCGATACAGTAAAACTAACATTACTATTATAATCTATAGGCTATAAACCATAAATCGACATGTATTTCATTAAGTTACGCCACAATTTGTGGTCAGCCCATTCTCCATACAATAATTTAAAATTTAAAATTTTATACAACCGACTTCAATAAAAATTATTGAGAATAACTGAAAAACTATTGGTCAGACCTTGATCAAATTTATGTAGGACCACATGTGAAGCACCAGCTTTCAAATAAAAAAAGAATCATCGAAATCGGTTCACTCAGTAAAAAGTTATGAGGTAACACACATAAAAAAAACATACGAGTACAGTCGAAATGAGTACCGGCTCCTTTTTGAAGTCGGTAGAAAAGAAATTGTCTCTTTTAGATCGTAAACATAACTTTTGCTAAATTTAGATGACATTTATCACAAGCGAACCGACATCTACCCACTTATGAGGAAGCATCGTATATACGGATACTGCCCACGCACTTAGCTAACAAACCCATATTAAGACATCCTCCTTCAAGAGCAAACATCCACGAATATGTTAATTCAGAACGTCTGCAAGTGTGCCTAGTTTTTAAAACAGACATATTTCTTCTATTTTTATCCGAATTATGTGGGCTGCAGCCAGAGGTTGCAAAAAAACCAATTTTTATTTAATATATATTTAATTTACAGAAATATTATAATTAATTATTACAACTAAGTGAGGTTACTCTAATTTGATGTTTGAATCTAGAATGAATTCATACGATATATATATAAATATATAAATATTTGAACCAGGTAATATAAGACAGTAGACACGTTATGGTGACGCGGCGCCTCGTGATTATCGTAAGCCGATGCAACGCAGCAGATTGCCTGGATTAGGGCTGCGTAACATCCGAATTCAAAAAACTGTATGTTTTACACGCTTTTACTATCTTCGCTTGTATCTATGTATGTAACGGAATCTTCTAATGTAATTTTCACCAACTTGTAGACGGCCGATTGACTTGAAAATTTGGACGTATCAAGGATTAATACAGTAATTAAATAACTTTATCCTAGTATCCTGATCAGGATCACCAGGATAAAATAAAATTCAGCTTTTATACGCGGTAGAGCCACGGTGCAGCTATATTATGGTTGTAGCACGAATGGCTTGGCTCTGTGTTTCGTATGGTGGGTGTAGAAAACCGGAGACCCATTTTATTAGAAACGAGGCATTCCATCTTGATCCTCAGGGGTGACGCATCTGCCTTTTGATTCTTAATCTAGGATAAATGTAGATGAGCCACAGCATCCAATTACCATCAGGTGGACTCGTTTGTATAAAAAAAAGCTTATGATCAATGCGTGTTGTTTAGGTTTTTCTGACACGAAAGTCTAGCGGTGACCTTTATTGAGCATAAGTCGCGCTGATTGGCTCGTGCGTATCGTTCGCACGCGCTGATTGGCTCTCCAGTCGCATTCGTGCAATTGAATTCGTGTGCGTCCCCTGCACGTTTCATTCAGCGCTAGTCTTATATGCCGCGACTTGTATGTTACGCGATATCATCGTCAATTGTGAACCGATTTTACCGTTCAACACACATACTATCAAAATCTGCTGCTGATTAGGCCTCACCCATGGATTGACTCATAGGGGCGATATTTGACATAGTAGTTACGCTTGGCAACTGCAGTTTTTTTATTGTTATAAGAAGGACGCTGCAGCCCGTCTCCTGGTTTATTTCTTTGTCACCACTTACGTCACCCGCGGGTCGATATGGATATTGATATATAGACGACTAGCTCTTCCCCGCGACTTCACCCGCATGGAATTTTTTTCCGCGGAATCCTAAAATAAAAGTAGCTTATGTGTACTCCTTATAACATCAAATATCTGCCTCTGAAAGTCCCATCCAAATCAGTTCACAAGTTTTTGCGTGATGCGTGTTCACGCCACAATAGAATAGATTTTTTCAGACTTACTTAACATTTATCGTTATATTTTGGACAATTTACAGAATATTTTTTATTAATTATAGCTTATTTGTTATTCTGATATATGGGCTATATAAAACTGTAAAGTTTCATTAGAAACCATTTAGCAGTTTTTACGTGAAAGAGTGACAAACATCCATACATCCTCACAAACTTTCACATTTATAACATTAGTAGGATATATAATTCTTTTAAGTCCTTTGAAGTCTTTTTATTTAAAAGTTTTTTTTTCATATCACAATTCATCATCAATCCAGCAGTCCACATGATATGACCTTAGTTTAAATAATGACAGCTCTAGGCGTGTTTCTGCCCAGGAAGACTAAGATTTTGATAGTATAAAGGTAACAAACAAGCACACAGTGCACCTGGTGGTAAGGGGATGCTGTGACGCATAGACATCTGTCTATCCTCAATTACGAATCAAATTGTAGATGCGTTGTCACCCCTGAGTACTTAAAATGCCTTAATCTTTTTAAGAACCTTATTTGCAACCAAATAAGAGAATTTGTTTCTGGTTTCTGGTGTTAAAAGATCATTGTGAATTTGTGAAGTGTCAAAATCTGTTGTGTCATGTCTTCAATGTAATATTTTTGTTCCTAAACATTTGTAAAATTGTGTAAAATATAGTACAAACGAAAACAATTGTTTATAACTGTGCTGGAAATAAAATATAACTGTATTAACGATGCATTGGTACGGAGGGAGTATCGCGGAGGCTGTTACGTTATCTAAACAAAGAAATGCATTTTTTTTCGTATTTGTTGAAGGTCACAATGAACAGTCTGCAGAAATGTCTGCAACAATTGATGATAGTGCGGTGGATAAAAGGTTGTCAGATCCTGAAAATTTCCTTGCAATCAAATTAAAGAGCGGATCAATTTACTATACACATTTTGCACAAATCTATCAATTTGTTCCTGTTCCATCTCTCTTTTTTATAAGTAGGAATGGAACACCACTAGAAGTTGTCTGTGCAGGAGTTGAGGCGCAAAACCTGGCAACAAGGATAGATAGGATATTAGAAGAACACAATAAGGAGAAACAGCGGGCAGTGCAACCATCCACATCAAGCCAGAGTTTGAAAGAGCAAACGGTCAACCTTCTGCAAGCCGAAGCTGCTGTTAGTAATAAGGAAGCTGCAGCAACACCACCAGTAGATAAAAAACCTCCGGCAGATGTAGAACCAGAAACTTCATCAGAACCAGCGGCTAAAGTAGCTAAGACAGACTATCACGAAGTCACGCATTCAGGACAAGAATATGAAGTTGTATGCGATGGTGACGTATGCGTGAGGAAACCGAAGTCGAAACCCGAAGAGCCCGGACCGAGTTCTACAGTGACTCCTACTGCCGAATCAAAGGAAACTCCTGCATCGTCACAGGCTGATGTGGTCAGTCCGGATGAGAAGGTAGAGCGAGCCAAAGAACTTATTGATGCTATAAGAAAAGAAAAGACTGAGAAGGAGAAAGAGTTGGAGAAGCAAAAGGAATTGGAGCGTCGTGCTATCGGTCAAGGTGTGGCAGAATTAAAAAGATGGCAGGCCGACCAGGAGTTAAAACAAATTCAGGAGGAACGGAAACGTGAGAAATGGAAAAAAACCTCGCCCAGCAACGTATCCTGGAGCAAATAGCGCAGGACCGCGCCGAGCGCCGCGCGCGCGACCAGCCGCCCGCGCCCCTCGCGCCCCTCGCGCCCGCCGCGCACCCCGCGCCGCACGCCTCGCCCGCACCACCGCCATCTACAGTTGGAGATGGTGGGTCGCGCGCCCGCGTTCAATTCAAAATGGCTGACGGTAGTGCGCATACAGCGCATTTTGACGTCGATGCAACTTTGCAAGAGTTGCGACGCTATGTTGCGGATAATTTACAATTACGGCTAGGCGAGTTCTCGCTGTGGACGGCATTTCCACGCCAGGAGTTGACAGAGAGCGAGTCGACGCTACGACAGTTGCGACTGGCGCCATCTGCCGCACTGCTTGTGCTGCCTCGACGTACTCCCACTGTGGTAGCTTCACCTACTACATTCTCTACTATCCTCACATTCTTGACGCAACTGTTCACGTCGCTGATCCTGGAGCTGTCGCAGCAAGTGTACGCGTGGCTGAGCGCGCGCCTGTTCCCGGGCGCGCGCCCCGCCCCCTCCTCCTCCCCCTCCCCCGACGCCTCCCCCTCTCCCCCGCCCGCGCCCCAACAGCCCGGCCTCCGCCGCCGGGTAAACATACATCGCCTCGCCGGCGACACGAACAGCGACGATGAAAACAACATCAGGAATGGTAATTCAACCCAGCAGATGTAGGAACTGTTGAAAATTCAAAAACTAATGTTTATTTTTTCCTATGATGGTTTAGGACCCGAAGCTCGTTTAACAATTTCCTATTTACACTTCCCATCCCAGCCAACATCGAATCTAAACGCTGTCATTAGTTTCAGATACGAAAATTGTTACTTAAATTGTTACTGTAAATAGTGTTTAATCAATTAATTATTATTGTTATTACTTAAATGTTCCTTTACCATAAAGGTGTCATCACGTTTTGTAATTTCCTCTGGTCAATGTCGGTTTTCTCATTTTACTACTACTCTACTCTATTAGTTTACTAACTACCCGAAAATGCTTAAACTATTTTAAGGAATGAGAGAAACAGAGGATGTAAATCATAAACTGTAACCTCCTTTTGAAAAGGCTGGCAACGCATCTACAATTCCCCTGGTGTTGCGGTTGTTCATGGGCGGCAGTAGTCACTTACCATCAGGTGAGCCGCATGCTCGTTTGCCCCCTCTCCTATAAAAAAAAAATCACCATTTTTGTTCCTTTGGCGTGTACTGCTTAAACTTAAATAGACATAACAATAAATTACACTAACAAATCGGACTTCTTACTACCTTCTAATAACTTCTTTGTTTAAAAAATAAAAATAGAAACTTGCAAGTTGAACGCGTTTTATGATTATAGCACGAATTTTACGAGACTCTTACTATATAGTCCTCAACAAATGTACGAGTATCTCTGTATCATAACGTGGTCATGATGACGCATATTTGTCGACATTTTTTTCACAATATAAATTTTACTAAGCGTATTTAGTAAGGGTTATTTTCACGTGTGTTAAACATACTAATATGTTCAATAAATTTAACCATACGATACCCTCATTCTATATAAGAAAATCTTAAATATCAGAAGTGAAAAAGTATCTCCATGTTGGTCCTTAATCGAGGATAGGTTTAAGTGTCTATTTGCCACAGCATACAAGGTAAGCGGTAAAGTTAATGGTGAGGCAATGTAATAACAAGCTCATTAACAACGTGGTAGAGCCACATTGCAGCACGAATGGTTTGGTTCGACCGGGAAACGACCACATTTTCACAGAATACCTGTGCAAAATACCAACTGAATGCTGCAGTGTTTCGTATTTTTTGTTTTTTATAGGATAAGGGTGACAAACGAATACACAGTCCACCTGATGGTAAGTGGTTGCTGTGGCCCATAGACATCTACATTTATCCTTTTTTTTATAGGATATGGGTGACAAACGAGCACACAGTCCACCTGATGGTAAGTGGTTGCTGCGGCCCATAGACATCTACATCGATCTATTACGAATCAAAATGTAGATGCGTTGTCACCCGTGAGGACTAAGATGGAATGCCTCATTTCCAGTAAAAAGGGCCTCCGGCCACCTGCACTCACCAAACGAAACGCAAAGGTAGACCTCTACTTCACGCTGGTTTTTTGTGAGGTCGTGGTACCACCCCGGTTCAAGTCGGCTCATCCGTGCGACAGCAAAAGCTGGCGCGTGGTTCTACCACTGTTAAAAATCCTCGATTACGAATCAAAATCCAGATGCGTTGTCACTCGTGAGGACTAAGATGTAATGCCTCAGTTCCAGTAAACAGGGTCTCCGGTTCTCTACACTCACCATACGAAACACAGCAGCATTAAGCTGCTATTTTATGCTGGTATTATGTGATATATTCGTACTGCAACTATAAAATAGTTTCAGCATGGCTCTACCACGTAACGAATTATATAATGATACCTACTTATAAGAGTTCTGAAGTTATCACCACATTAAGACCACGAAATCATCATCATCATAACTACCAGTGACTGCTTCCGATGTTCGACTTTTTATTTTGACCATCTTATTGATCAGGCTGGACTTCATTCACGAAGCAGTCAGCTTACTTGCATTGTGGGGGCGGAGTAGTGGAATACTTCCTCCCATTTTGTTCCATGGGTGTTGTAAGACACGGCTATGGAAAATGGAGGGTGCGAAAGACCTTGAAACGGTACGGTGTCGTAAAAGGCGACTGTGGAAAATTTCAGAAAGTTTTCGACGCTCCCGATAGATGGCGCTAAAAGGCCTAACGTAAATACCCAGACTGGTGACAGGGATCAACTTCAAAGTTGTGAAAGACCTGGAAACGGTACAGCGATCATCTTTCCACCTGCTAAATATGACTATTAAGACAAATTTTCTACCGACTTCAAAAAGATGACGGTACTCAATTCAACTATATGTGTTAACCTCATAACTTTTTACTGGGTGAACTGATTTCGACGATTCTTTTTTATTTGAAAGCTGGTGCTTCACATGTGGTTCCATATAAATTTTATCAAGTTCTGACCAATTGTTTTTGAGTCTTTCTTAATAATTTTTTTTTTTTTTTCTCTTTTATTAAACGTTACCCCCCACACTAGGATTGAAATGACATTGATATTGAAGTCGGTTGTACAAAATTTTTTATTTTTTATTATTTTGCAAAGGGAGATATCAATAAATGAAACAAATTTTACGGATTTTAACACGTTTGATATAACTCTTTAATTTCCGGCGTTTTGGGTGCTTTATAGCATCAGTAGTAACGGGAGAGACTGAGGTGTTTAGCACAGTGTTCGCGTAAATATAAGAACTCAGTACGACAGAGATTATGTATAAAATATGCATATGACATATCAACATCGTGACAGTATGCCACACAGCATTAAGCTGCTGTGTTTCGTATGGTGAGTGTAGAGTAACGGAGACCCGTCTCCCTGGAAACGAGACATTAAATGTCTTAGTCCTCAGAGGTGTCAACGCATCTGGACTTTGACCTAGATAACTATGGACCACAGCATTCACTTACCATTAGGTGGATTGTGAGCTCGTTTTTCACTCTTATTCCAATGTAAAAAAGTTAGATTGTCATTTCAAATTTATAAAAAAAAACCTCACGACACTGTCTGTTTACACAGAGGTGGTAAGGTGTCGCTAGTGGGCTGTTCCTACTCCGGCAGCATGGTCACGTGGATGCGTCTCGCCTATCCTCACCTGGTGACAGCTGCATTCTCAGACAGCGGTCCACTACACGCGCAGGAAGATTTTCCAGGTGAGATGAAATCAAAACCAATAGCTTAAAATGTTGGTTTAAGCTTGAACTCTTCTTGGTGGTGAGCCACGGTGGTCACCATCAGTATCACCATGGTACATAAGAGTGGTTCCCGGATCTTAGTCCGGAACGCAACAGGATCCTCACCATTCACTCGTTACTTTACTAGACAGATGACAGACGTGGACGTGCCCCTGGGGCAGCACTGCACTGCGTTGCTGTAAAGTGCTTGGCCGTGGAAGGAAAAGGGGAGATCTCCCGCCGGGCAAGACGTTGGTAGTTCGCAGCTATTCTATATATACTGCTTTTACTTCGGAACTTTGATAGCGCGATTTAGGCGTCGATGTATTTTTGCTTGTGGCGCGACGACGCGTCGCCGCAAGTGAAAGCTTTAAGCCGGATTTTCTTTATGTTGCCCCCATAAAGAGAGCATTTTCGAATATTCGAATATGCCGATCCCCAGAGCCACTTTCGTCGATTAACCGAGAGTCCCACTTGCAGAAAAGGTTGACACTTGGAAAACCTTCATTTCCTTCCTAACCTTCCGCCGAGGGGGTGATCGGTTAAATACTCACAGTGGTCACCATTAGCATATACGAAAGGTCCCGGAATCTCCGTTCGCAACGCAATATTCCAAACCAACCTACAACCCATTGCATATTAACTGAGGTGAATAATATGTTGGTTGTGAATCGCTGTAGGACCTAAATACTATGCTCAATGACCTCAATAGTGTCTCCCAACGGATAGGTCTTAAGATGAACATGGACAAAACAAAGATCATGTTCAATGTCCATGTCATACCTATGCCGGTAGTTGTTGGGAGGACTAAGCTCGAAGTTGTTGACGAGTATGTTTACCTGGGACAAATAGTCTGACTAGGTAAGTCCAACTTCGACCGAGAGGTCGACGGATTCTACTATGCGTTCTAGTATACTATTCTAGCGTTCGGGAGATTAGGACACATCTTGTCGTTAAACATACCTCAAAACCTTAAAACTAGATTGTTCAACCTGTGCGTGTTACCAGTGATGACCTATGGAACTGAGACATGGCCATTCACTGCTGGCCGTATGAGGAAGCTCAAAGTCGCTCAGTGAGCTACGGAGAAGGCTATGCTTGGCGATTCTCTGTGTGATAGACTTAAAAACGAAGATACCCGCAGTAGAACTAGAGTCACCGACATAGCCCAAAGAATTAGTATGCTGAAGTGGCAATGGGCCGGCCATATAGCTCGAAGAACCGACAACGGATGGGGAAGAAAGGTTCTCGAGTGGTAGCCTCGTACCGGTAGCCGTAGTGTAGGGCGTCCCCCAGCTAGATGGAGTGACGACCTGGTAAGACATGCAGGAAGTCAATGGATGCAGGTGACTCGGGACCGTGCTTTGTGGCATTCCTTGGGGTAGGCTTATGTTCAGCAGTGGACTTGTGAAAGGCTTTAATGATGATAATGAAGTCGGTTGTACAAAATTTTTATATTTTACCACTTGTTCATCACTTGTCATTGTCAGTGGAACCTCATTTCGAAACGTAAGTAAATTTGCAGAAAACAAAATTTGACAGTAGAAATTTGTATTTCTTACGTCGAAAACATGAATTAATTCATTACATTTATTATTATTATGTACTCCATATCGAATTGCGGTCACGGCGGCCGGTCTCAACGGAGCCTAGCCATTTGCGCTGGACAGGATTATAGTGCGTTAGTGTGTGCGCAAACACAGGTAAACGCTTCCAAACGACCGCATAGAAATTAGCCACTGGACCAACGTGCTTCTCAAGGCCCGGGCCACCAACTTTCTGAAGTCGCGCTCCTACTGAGACTTTCTTAAAGGATAAACCCAATAACTGATTTTTGACCCGACCTGGGTAATACTCGGCACCACTTGATTACCTCTCAGAAGTGAGGAAGGCCTGTGTCCATCAATAGGACGTATATAGCCTGTTACTTTACTTGATCAGCAGTCACGCTTACAACCTTTTTTTTCCTCATGGATACCTTTTCGCTATGGGGACAACAAGAAGGTTATACCGGACTCCTACAACTAAAATCTAACGGTGGTCACCATCAGCGTGTACAAGGGGTCCCGGGATCTCCGTTCGGTACGCAATCAGGGCCCTTCTCTGGCTTTGCATATTAAAGCACTTCCCGGGGACAGTCCTTACTGCCCCCAGAACCCTCGCACTGCTATCACGGTGCTCGGGCCCACATCCGAGTTACCGTCTTCCTCGAGGATTACATTGCTAGACGTTCGGGGTCCCCGCCCCGAACGTCTAGCAAACCAAACGGGTCGCAACCCCAGAGGCCCCGTTTCTGGTAGTGGAAAACCGTTTTCATGAGGGGGGCCGTGACGAACGCCTTGGTGACGTCGTCTCCGAGCGGGATCCGCCCTCTCCCGATCCCGTTCAGCAGCCTCCTTCTGAATCATAACTGATTCACAGAAGGTGGCTACGGTCCTTCACGCCGAATCCCCGCTCAACATCGCCGACATAACTGCTGGCAGTCAACCTAAACAAACTAAACAAACGAGGAAGTCGATCACTCCGAAATAATTTCATGTACAGAATATCTGGAAGTCATAACGGAGGCCCTACGCACTCAAGGCAGTGAAGAGTGTGTTACAAGCATTGCAGAAGCTGTCGAGAAAATGGTGCAGCAGCTGGCCACAGAGAGCGGGGCTAATACAATCTCGGAAATGTTCAAGTAAGTAAGAAAATAAACTTCTCTTAAAAGGATGGGATCCCCACATCAGCCTAACAATTATGGGCTCCTATAGGTGGTGGAGTTCATTATTACCACACTTATCAGCCGTATTTTCAGTCGCCTTTACGCCATTTTCTGTCGCCAGGTCTAATATAGTTTTTCGACTTCTTCATTAACCCGCTAAAGTCCGCTGGTGGACCAATGTCCTCTCTCGATCTAAGAAGAATTTGTCTTATTCGCCACGCTTAGTCGTCCAGACGTCCCATATCTATGGTATGGGTGTTTTGTTTTATATACAGTACATCTGATGATAAGTGACTACTGAAGTCCTGGACACCTACCGTTACCGTTACAGCCTATTAAAGTCCACTGTTGAACATAGCCCTCATCCTTAGATTGCCGCACATTTGCCACAGTTGCCACGCAAGCGGGTTGGCAACCGCAGTCTTTTTTTTTTGGTTGTTATTAGGAAGACGCTGCTTCCCATCTCCTGATTTGTTTCCCTCTGTCGCCTGCTACGGGGTGATATGGGATAGTGGATATTCTTACACCGCCACTACACGATATTACCGTGACAACTACAATCAACTTCAAATAAAGAGTTGTGCAGATACGTTGATAAGTCTCATAGATATCTTCTTGCTTAGTCTTTTGCAGGGTGCTTCATAACCTATAATTATACTAACTCTCTGTACTATTCAGACAGGACCACAGCAGTTTACGCACTTCTGTTTGGCGATATAATTAGGTAAGAGGAGGGTACCTACTCTGACGGACTCCTCGGCAGAAAAGCAGTTCCGCCACCTAGTAAGCTTAATACTCCTGTGTTCCTTATGGTCAGTGTAGAGAACTAGAGATAGTACTGGAAACAAGGCATTCCAGCTTAGTCCTCAGGCGTGACAACGCATCTGAACTTTGATTCTTATCCGAAAATAAATGAAGATGTCTTTGGACCACAGTATTCACTTACTATCAGGTGGACTGGGTGTTCGTTTGTCAATCTTATTCTACAAAACAAACACAGAATGGTTTTATCACCAACTATTGAAAGCCATAAGATTTTGTGGCACTTTTCATAGTTAAGTTTTAACGTGGTAGAACCATACTGCAGCTGTATTACTGGTATAGTTGTAGCACGAATGGGTCGGCTCAACCGGGGAAGGACCACGCTCTCACAGAATACCAGCATAAAATAGCACCTTAACACTGCTGTGTTTCGTATGGTGAGTGTAGAGAACCGGAGACTCTCTTTACTGGAAAAGAGGCATTTCATCTTAGTCCTCACGGGTGACAACGCATCTGCATTTTGTTTCATAATCGAGGATAGATGTAGATGTCTATGTGCCACAGCAATCACTTACCATCAGGTGGACGGTGTGCTCGTTTGTTAGCCTTATCTTATAAAAAAGTCGCCTCTTCCGACACCCACGGGAATAAGTGGGGAGATGGATTGGTCACCAGATGGTAACTATATCTGGTAGAATTATGAGTGCAACCACCATCTATCAATGACCAGAAGATCTATAAAATATAATAGAAGAATTTTCATTGAAAATAGATTATTACATAATACTTATTGAAAGTTATTTTTTAATTATTTACTACTGGTTCGTAAAATACCTCTATCCTGGAGTAGAACCAAGAAGAAAACAATCGGGATTATATTTCTTCTAGGCGTTTCCTTATTCGATCCCAGGTAACAGTGCAACTGTTTAAACAATTTTATGTACTTATTTACTACGTGTTCTGCCATTGAAGTAATATGTACTACGTCCCCGTGTAGCGACGGTGTAAGAATATCACCTACCCCAGATCGACCCGAGGGTGTCGTAAAATGAAAAAGGAGATGAGCAGCATTCTCCTAATAACAATTCAAAATAATAAAACAACTATGGCAAAATCGCTCTCATGAGGCAATCTATGAGGGAGGCCTATGTTCATCAGTGGACTTTTATAAGCTGTAACGTTAACGGTAAATAGTACTACGTACTAGAACAGACACCGCGACCAAAATCTGTGCGGCAGTGTGGGGTGCGTTGAATGAGGCACAGAGTAGTATATTATGGCACAGACTAAGTAAGTTTAAGCCCGTGGGCACTAATGCGTGTTCATCATTACAGCCCTTCACAAATCCACTGCTGAACATAGGCCTCCCCCAAAGAATGCCACATAACACGGTCCTAAGCCACCTGCATCCATAAACTTCCTGCATATTTTACCGGGTTCTCACTCGTGAACCTTTTTTCCCCATCGGTTGTCGGTCCTTCGAGCTATATGGCCGTGCCAGTGCCACTTCAGCTTACTAATCCGTTGGGCTATGTCGGTCACTCTGGTTCTACTGTGGATATCATTTCTAAGTTTATCGCGCAGACAAACCCTGAGCCTCCTCTCCCTCTCCATAGCTTGCTATGCCTTGAACCTTGAACTTCCTCATATGGCCAGCAGTGCTACAAATAACTAACGCGTGTCACAAACAACCAAGTCTCAGCGTCTCTTCTAATACGAAGTACATACTACTTAAATGGTGTTCTGCCACTAAAGTTAACATCGTAACGGAAACTTATATGTGGCGGAAATTTCAAGGTCAGTATATGATTCGTTAACTCACACTGCAGTAACTCTTCTGCTTCCTAACATTACTTAAATGAGAGGGGGGTGTATTCAGCAATGAGACACCTAAATACTCATATTTCTACTTTACTTAACAGCACCTGCTCACCCATTAATGGCTCCAATCCACTGGACGTAGCCACGTTCTTCTGGTTTGGCATCACGGAGACGTTCGCCTCCCTCGTCCAGTACGCCACGCCTGGCGTCATACCAGCAGCGTGCAATGTTTTGACCAATGCCAACGTTAGTAAGTACTCCTTAACCTCTAACTTTTGAGGTGTTTTCATACTTTTATATTAATTATATAATTGTATAAAATACATATTATATTGTACTTTTTTAAAAACACCCCCTCCGAAGAACTATTAAGAAAACCTGCTGGTTCTTCCCAGGACAGAGTTTTTTCCGAACCATTGGTAAAGCTTAAACGGTTTTCAAGAAGTATTTTTGTAATCTAAATTGAATATAAATCATTCTATTCTAGTCCATTCTAATAATTAAGGTACGTACTGGAAATTGCTCTTACTAAAAGTTAAATCGGATTGAAAAACAAAAACTTAACATCTTTGAAGTCGACAAAATTATCTCCGCTGTATCGGGCTTCATCACGGTCGATATTTAACTGCAAATGAAAAAAAGTTTGTAATCAAAACATATTTATATCACAAAAAATAATGATTTCTTAATAATAATTATTTTTAACGATTTTTGGATTGCATTATTGGACTTGTATATAACTTGTATAAAAACGATTCTATCCTATTCTGAAGATTAATTTAATTAACAAAATTTAATCTTCTTCTTCATTATAATCTCGTAAATGTCCACTACAGGACGCGGACCTCTCCCAATATTGGAATGATTTGCCTAATAGTCTCATAATCCTCAATCCTTGGCAATTGAATTGAGGATCGAAGTACCAGGTCGTAGTTTATACGTGGTAGAGCCATTCAACAACTATACAATACAATACTCTTTATTGTACACCAAGAAAAGATAAAAATAACAAATAGTTTAGAAAATCCAAAAGTACACGTCTCATGAGCATTTCATTGTATTTTGAAAAAAATATTACCAAAATAAATCGATTACACCAAGTATAAAATCGATATAGGCTGTTTGATGCATTTGTCCTTTGTCTACCGAGGGCTAAAGAAGAAAATGAAAGCGCCTTTAAATTTTTAATAGCAAAAAATTTATAAAACTTGAAAATCATTTTATTAACTAACTACGCGTATTAGGCTATTGATGTGAAATAAGGAACCACTTGATATAATTCTGAAGCTAATAAAAAAACTCGGTCTCGATACGTCCTTTTACAAAAGCCACATACAAAATCCACATCCGACTGTGCACGAAAAATTTTTTAAAACCGTTTTTTCATCATAGTAGCGATATAGAAGGGCGATGAGTGCTCTGTACGCAAAGCACTCATCGCCCTGGGCATACACAAGTCGAGTGGGCCTGACGGAATCCCGTTCTACCGGTTCTAACGCGTCTTTTCCGGTACTCCTACTCCCTAGGCGCTGTCCCGAATTCATGGAAGACAGCTTTCATGCACCCGATGCCTAAAAGTCACCTCCTTGTTCTCGAAAATAATGGAGTCCATTATTAACTGCCAGCTCATGTGATACTTTGAGAACCACCAGCTGATTAGTGACCGCTAGTACGGTTTTCTTCGGGGCGCTCAGTTGATGATCTTCTTGTTTACCTCAGACATAGATGGGTGCACGCGATCGAGTCCAAGGGGGAGGCATTGGCCGTTAGTTTGGACATAGCGAAGGCCTTCGATCGGGTCTGGCACAAAGCGCTTCTTCCGAAGCTTCCTTCCTATGGGCTTCCCGAGAAATTGTGCAATTGAATCACCAATTTTCTGACTGATCAGTTTATCAAGGTCGTAGTAGAGGAAGCATGCTCCGATTACAAGCCTATTAACGCTGGTGTTCCACAAGGGTGCGTGCTATCACTAACGCTGTTTCTTCTGCATATCAATGATATATTGCTAGCCGGTAACATTCATTGCTATATCGATGACAGCACTGGTGATGTTCTATACACCGGCCGTGCCAATCTTTCTCGGGAAAACGTCCCTGAGTAGCGGAACAAACTTGTGTCTGAAGTCGAGTCTTTGTCTGAAGCTGAACAAAGTCTCGGATTGGGGGCGACTAAATCTAGTCCAGTTTAATCCTCATAAGACACAAGTTTACGCGTTTACCGGTAAAAAGAACCCCTTTGTCATATCTCCTCAGTTTCAAGGCACTCCCCTTGTTGCCTCAGCCAGTAGCGGAATCCTCAGCGTCGACATATCGAGTGCCGTACAGTTTCGTGGTCACTTGGAAGAGAAGGCCAAATTGGCCTCTGAAAAGCTTGGCGTGCTCAGCAGAGCGGGACAGTATTTCATGCCGGCACACCGGCTGCAACTTTACAAGGCGCAGGTTCGGCTTCACATGGAATACTGTTCCCATCTCTGGGCTGAGGCTCCCCAGTGCCAGCTCCTTCCACTTGACCGCATCCAGCGCAGAGCGGCTCGAATCGTCGACGACCGAGTCCTTTCCAATCGGCTCGATTCACTGACGCTGCAAAGAGATATTGCATCTGTTTGCGCATTTTATCGCATCTATCACGAGGAGTGCTCTGAGAAATTGTTCGTACTAATTCCAGCCGCTCAATTTCACCATCGCACATCGCAACAGAACTCGCGATATCATCCATACCATCTGAATGATTGGCGGTCCACCACTGTGTGATTTAGAAGAAGTATTCTTCCTCGCACAATTTCCTTGTGGAATCGATTACCACCAGCGATTTTTCCGGACTCATTTTTAAAAAGCAATGCATCTGCAATTCCCCTGGTGTTGCAGTTGTTCATGGGCGGCGGTAGTCACTTATCATCAGCCTCTGCCCCCTTTCCTATAAAAAAAAAATATACTTAATGGCAGTATAAGAGAATTAATCACACCATTTAGGTCTTTGTTATTTTATGCCAAAAAGACCTTAGGGCTTCCGATATATCTTGTTAATCATCACCAAGCTCATCTTGCTAATCTTGTAAAATACCAGCCTGGTTAGGGAAAGCAGCGCGAAACGTCTATTTGTATAGAATAAGGATGACAAACGAGCACACAGTCCACCTGATGGTTAGTGGATACTATGTCTAATAGACTTCTATATCGATCCTCGATTGAGAAACAAAATGCCAATGAATTGTCACCCTTAAGGAATAAGATGGAATGCCTCGTTTCCAGTGAAAAAGGTATCCGGTCCTCAAGACTCAACATACAAAACACGGAAAAAAAGCTTCTATTTTACGCTGGTATTCTGTGAGGGCGTGATCTTACCCCGATCGAGCCGACCTATTCGTGCTACAACCATAATACAGCTGCAGCATGGCACCACTTATAATATATACAAATATTCTTTTATTGCACCCTTCCAGCGGACCCTGTGCGCCGTTTAGCCAACTGGATAACTGCCCAGTCCATGACGCAACCGTGCATTGAGAGCCGCTACAGCGAGCAGGTGGCCGCGCACACCAACACCAGCTACGACTCACACCAGGCTGTCAGTAAGTAATGTTCTCCTTGAAATCCAGGTGGTAGGACTACTTATTTGTCTAGAATAGAACAGAATATTATTTATTCAATATAGGTACCGTGTACATAGTGGCGGTGCGGTGTAGGAATATCCACTACCCCATATCGTACCGTGGGTGTCGTAAGAGGCTACAGAGGAAAACTGAAACAGGAGATGGGTAGCAGCATCTTCCTGATAACAACTCAAAGTAATAAATAAACTGCGGTTGCTAATCTAACTGCCTAGCGTGGCAAATATGGCAAAATCTTCCTTATCAGCAGTGGACTTGTATTGGTTGTGGACTTGTGATGGATAGATGGGTGGATTACAAGAATACTTCCCACTACATTTCATAAATTTTGTTGGGAAATTCTTCATCATTCCGGCTGCACTTCTCTGGAACTTCTTACCCGCAGACGTTAGAAAAACACCTAAAAATACTGCCTTTAAAAGATTGATACGTGAATACTTTTTAATGACATCAGACGTGGGCGTAGCTCTTAGTTTCCGGAATGTATCCTTGTCCAGAACACTGACCGCCTTCAGTTGTTAGGGGTTGAATTTTCTCCGAAACTCAACTATGGGTGGTTAATTGAGTTTGAGTCCAGAGTCAAAGCAACTGTAAGGAAACTTGGTGTCCTTGTAAGAGTGGTACTACACGCCGGGGCATCTTCTTATATAAAGCGTAATTCCGGTCGTGCAACGAGTACTGCTGTCACTTATGGGCTGGTGCTGCAAAATGCCACCTGGCAGCGTTGGGTTCAGTGGAAAAACGTGCTAAGAGGCTCATTGGTGACCTTGATTTGGTTGAAACCAATCTTGTCAGCCTTGAGCACGGGCGCAGAGTAGCTAGCCTCTCGGTATTGTATAGGATGCATTTCGGTGAGTGTGCGCAGGAATTACTCGCTTTAATTCCTGAACTGTTTGCTTCGACTTTTGTAATGCGTACAGTAAAAGAGTAGAATAATTTGCCGGCGTCTATCTTTCCATCCGAACACAATCTGGACGTCTTCAGGTCAAGAGTGAATAGGCTTTTGTTACGCTAAGACAGTGCGATTTACCATCTAGGGCGTCATCACCACTTACCACCAGGAAGACATTAGTTAGTATGGTCAATGTTATTGTTTGGTTACCTTTGTTTATGTTAATTTATAAGTTTATGTTATATATCTATTTGTGTTTAAAATACGTGTAAAGCAATAATTTACGATATCCTAGAATACCATCTGTGTAAGTACCACGGTATCTTACCTTTTTCTGGCATCAAACAGCAGTGTTTGCTCTACTGTGTTTCAGACTGAAGGTTATCGAGAGCCAGTATAATTAAAAAACAGGCTGTGAAGCATTCCACCTTAGTCCACAGAGGTGACAACGCATCTGTAACTTTATTTTATTCCATTCTTTCTTTTCTTTGTTTCTCCACATTACAATAGTTTTCTGCATTGGTTGTTTTTCAAAGCGATGGATGGCGAAAAGCTATGTTTTCAGTTATGCTTACTCTCTAAAGGTCTAGGTGATAAGGTTCCTTTTCTGACTAGACTTCCGTCTGGGTGGGTACCACCATCTTAGCAGAGCATGCACTGATGCCTTTAGGTCTGAAGGATATAGAGAGTCAGTATAGTTACAAGTTGTAAGGCATTATGAACGTGGTAGAGCCATACTGCAGCTATATTAATAGTATAGTTGTAGCACGAATGGGTCGGCTCGACCGGGGAAGGACCACGCTCTCACAGAATACCAGCGTAAAATAGTAACTTTAAGTTGCTGTGTTTCGTATGGATGGATGGTAGAGAACCGGAGACCTATTTTACTGGAAAAGAGGCATTCTATCTTAGTCCTCACGGCTGACAACGCAGCTGCATTTTAATTCGCAAACTAAGATAGATGGAGATGTCTATGGGTCACAGCAACCACTTACCATCAGGTGGACTGTGTGCTAGTTTGTCACCCTATCCTATAAAAAAAATCCATCTTAGTTCTCATAGTGAGAACGGATTATTCTTTACTAGCTGATACCCGCGACTTCGTCCATGTTGCTTGATATATCAAGAAAACACACATCACTGAACACGTAGTGCTTATAAAAATCGTTGTTTCTTTAAACTTTAATAACTTTATATTAAAGGAAGATATCTCAATTTTTTTTTTAGATAAGGGCTAAGTGTGTAAGAAATAAAACTTAGAAAACCTAAGTGAAATCTATCCAGTAGTTTTCCGTAATGTGTGCACAACTGCAAACCTCTATCAGATAATTTATATAAATTTAACTATATAATAGCTAGATGTAGATGTCTATGGCCCACAGCATCCATTTACCAAATGAACCGTGAGCTCGTTTGACACACCTATTCTATTTAAAAAAAAGTTTTTACATAGCATTCACTTCGTTATCGAATAGTTATCGAGTTGTAAAACCAAACATAATCATTCAGCGTCCGACGGAGACGCTTCGGCTTCTCCTGCTTTGCATCACAAATAGAATTTCCATTAATAATAAAATCCCGTTATACTCCAACGGACATTTCCATAAAAGCGACCGTATAAATTAACGTAGACAAAGTTTTCCTGCTGGATTTGGGTTTGCTATACTCGAATATATGACGACGTGAAGTTTTCAATGTAATTATGTTAATTGTACCTCATCGTTCGCCGGCTGTGAATCCCTTTAGAGATTCCCTTAGAGATTTTGTACATATTCTTCATTAATTTTCATGTAGTTGTTACGTTGATCCGTAATTATTTCCATTACAAATCATATCGTTATGAATTGTAATGGAGCGCCTTAAGTCGTTTACATATAGTCCGCCTTTGTACATTTTTTGCAAAGAATTTGAAATAAATTAATTAATTAATTCCGGTTTCTAAACAACACAGTCTGTTATTGTAATGTGGTGTTCTCCAAACCGATTTTCGGTCAGTCTCAAGGGAGACTAGTCATCCACGCAAAACAAGATTATTTATATTTATTGCCCGAGTGTGTGCGCAAGCACAGGTGCACTCCCTATTCCGTCACTCTCACAGTTGGACAGGACGGCATTCAATCACGTTGGTGTGCGCTGACCGCTGAATGGTGACGGCCTAAGAGAATCTACCCCATTTCGTCACGCTGTGACTTACGAAAACAATATAGGCATCCGATAGATGTCCTTATATTATATATAGCAGTATAACCATCTTGTTTACGCTAGATATAAAATATCCATACAGGCGACAAGAATCAAGAAAGGAATGCTTCGGTAGCAGAAGAAGCACGAGAGTAGAATAGATGCTTTAGAAATGTGGTCATTAAGGAGTATGTTAGGACTGAATCTGAATGACAGGGTGAGAAATTGTGTGATAATTTTAGACGTTCTAGTTGTGTTGTGATTAGGGTTGCCAACTGCTGTTTAATGTTGTATAAGAATTGAGAAGATTAAATAAAGGACATAGGATGAAAATAAAGGATTCAATAAAATGCTGTTATGGTATCTGTTGACAACATTTAATCATTTAAAAACAATGTTAATACGCAATGTAACCTAGTTTGTCTCTGTAACATCGCACGTCACCTCAAAGTTATTATTAAATCCTTTGACCTCAAACTCAACAGCCTCGAGGGAGCTTTTAATACGCGCGATACTGCCCCGTCCTCTATTAAAAATGTCAAATTAGGGGACAAGATCAATTTTTGGGTCGGAAATGGAGAGTCATTCTTTGAAATAAAGAACGTCTGGCAACCCTAGTTGTGAATGTCGCCGTTTCCTCTTAAGGTATGATTCCGAACTCCGCTGCAGGCAGCAGTACTGCCGCAACAGTGCTGCCCACTACTAGTCCCCATGTATTCTCTATAGGTTTATATGAGATTACATTCAACAGCAATGCAGTGGCAGCACTGCTGCGACTGCATTGTCGCCCCGCCGCCGCGACACACCAGTAGTGAGTAGTGACTGATTATATTAGCGATAGTACCTATGTGAATGTTGACAAGTAGAGCAACAAAAATGTGAATTTGTAAGTTAACGATAGCAGTCATACTAATGATCATAATAATTTGATTCGAGACATTATATGAAAAGATATTATATCGAAGGAGATCAATAAAACAAGTTATTCCTCTTCCAACAATATAAATAATTTAAAATAAAAAATTTTGTACAACCGCTTTCAATATAAATTATTAAGGATAACTCAAAAACTATTGATCGTCAGATCTTTATCAAATTTATATGGGATCACATAAGAAGCACCAGCTTTCAATTAAAATAAGAATCATCAAAACCGGTTCACCTAGAAAAAATTTATGAGATAACACACATAAAAAAACACAGTCGAATTGAGTACCGTCTCCTTTTTGAAGTTGGTAGAAAAGTTGGTGATCAATCAACATCCTGTCAACTCAAAGCAACAGAATGAATACACAATAGCGCAACACCACGAACAAGGCAACACTGCGGCTGCGGCCTTGTTCGGAATCAGCGCGGCAGGCAGCGTGCTGTCGAGATCGGAATCGTACCTTAAATCTTCGCCATTCTATTCTAGTCTAGCTTCGATCTTATCTAGTTATAATTTCACCTAGTTTACTTGAACAGAATATATTTGTAGCACAATTTCCAATCTTAATTAGTTCACACAATCAGCACACAGTATTAAACTAATTTAGCGCTAGAGTCGCTATCAAGAGTACGAAACGTTATAATTTCAATTCCGATCGATCGGAATTGTTTTCAAGAGTAAGCTTTTATTACAATGTGTAATCTATACATAGTTATAAATAATTTTTTATTGTCTATCCGTAATATTGAAATAACTGTCTTCTAGGTCTTAGGGAGTTCAACTAAGTAGCGTTCTATTAAGACATAAAAAGCCTTTTTTAATTTTTATCTGACTGTCAAGGAAGGGTTATATTTTTCGCGCGTATCTAGAACAATGGCAGAAAAATAGTTGACAAAAATTATTGCGTCTAGAAATAAGTTATATATAAAATTAGTTTTATTATTTTTCTATGATTTTTCAAATAAAAATGTATTTTAATTAAAGCCAAAGAAAAACACAAACATTTTAGAGAATATCAAATGACTTAGATCATTTTACTCTATTCAAGTGTTTTCATTATAGTAATATTCATACTATTTTCGTATACACTTTGAAAGACTCCCAACACAACACACAACCACAAAATATTTTTATATTAAGTTATTATTAGTAATAACTATACTATCAGTAATAGAAAAGAATAGAATAATTTTTATTCAATATATATTACATGAGTAATTCTTATTGAAAGTCATTTTTTACTTTACCACTGGTTCGAAATAATAATAATAAAAGTGATATGGTTGAAAAGAAGTCTCTTACAAAGAACTTCCTACAATAATACATTATCTCAATCATAGTAATATGTAACAATTTTATTTAATGTTATGGCAACACTAGCTAAAACAAAATGTAAATGTTTTTTTTTACTAGCATTACGGCTCTAGGTTCTAGCCCTTTTGAGAATGTCACTGTATGACACAAAGGCCCTGGAGCCATGCCAGAAATATATATTTATAGTATGCAAATATATAATAGAGATACAATAATCTAGGGCATATATGTAGGGCACATTATGTTGAGAATGTATTAAGCTAACGTCAAACAACCACAGGAAGTATGACTTTTTCCAAGCGACATAAGGCATAACCCAAAAAGGTTCAAATCTAAATATCTTTTTTTGACGCCTTCTCAGGACAAAATTCTTCGACCGAGAAGGAAGTGACGCTTAACATTTTAAGATATTTTTGGTATATAGACGCTACCATTCATTCTCAACTAATTTTATGTATGAAAGTCTGCCATTGTTCTTTCTTTATTACCGCTTATCTTCCAAACGGCTGGATAGATTTTGACAATTAAGGTATCGTTTTATTCGCCTTGAAAACCCAAGTGTTCTTAGATAGGTGTTTGAAAAAAAAACCATTATACCGTAAGAAAATTAATGGGTTCCGCTTGCTACTAAATCTAATGCGTGTATTTAACTTAGGCTTTCACCTCATAATATTATTGTCTGTTAAACCGAAGTAGAGTTTATTTTGTTTATAGTTTATTTTAATTTTGTTTTCTATTTTCAATCTTTTTTCAGTCTTTTTAGTTCATTACTTTTAAATTATCTTTTATGCGGGTTTTTGATTTATTAAATTATTTTTAAATGTTTATTTATCTCTCTCTCTCTCTCTCGCTCTCTCTCTCTCTCTCTCTCTCTCTGTCTCTCTCTCTGTCTGTCTCTCTCTCTCTCTCTCTCTCTCTCTGTCTGTCTCTCTCTCTCTCTCTCTCTCTGTCTATCTATATATCCTAGCCCGGGTGGACCCAGATAGATCTATGAAATGACTGAATCGATCGTGATCTTTACAAATAGAAAGAAAGCAATGGCAGGATTGATTTGGGCTATATTTTATACAAAAAAACTTAACTTAAAATTGTTAACATAAAAGGCTTTCGATGATTATTTTAAATATAGGTAACTCCACATAAATGGATTCTACCCAGACGAAGTCAGAGCAGTTCGCATTCTTTAAACGTTACCTGGTTAGCTTTTAGAATATATTTTTAGTACATAGTTACAAAATATATCATAGGCTGTAGCGTCTCCTAATACTAACTAAAAATTAAAAAGTGTGGTCGCCAGCCCGCCTGCCACGCGTTGCAACCATATCTTGACCTCCCCTGTGATAGGCTCCCCTATGGGAGAACTATTATCACTGTACTTTTATATGCTGTAATGGATGGATGGAATGTTATCTCCGGCGCTTAATATATATCTTAAAGTTAAAGAAATTAATATATTAATATTGGCCTCCAAATATATGTTTACGTAAATTTTACGTATGTTCACAAAGACAGAAATTGTTTTATTAAAAATGGAACAAGCACAAGCAAGTTATACCATTTACTCGACTCTAAAAAGTCAATTTCTTCAAAGGGCAATGTATATACTCAATAGAAGCAGATGTCTGTGTAGCCAAGTCCTTGGCCGAGTTAATATACAAACAATATAATAGCACATTTGCTATCTGAAGGCGACAAGGATCGCTAGTTGATTATAAAATTATTTCTTTCAATTCTATTCTATCTATCGTCACATTTGCAGTGCGCCTGTGGACGTACCAGACTTGCGTGGAGTACGGCTGGTACCAGACAACGAGCAGTTCCCGCCAGCCATTCCTCTCCACTGTACCTCTGCAGTACTTCCATCAGATGTGCAAGGATTTCTTCTCTACATAGTAAGTATTTTAATGTATTTTTTTTTTATAGAATAAGGGTGACAAACGAGCACACAGCCCACCTGACGGTAAGCGGTTGCTGTGGCCCATAGACATCTACATCTATCTTCGTTTACGAATTAAAAAGCAGATGCGTTGTCATCCGTGAGGACTAAGATAGAATGCCTCTTGTCCAGTAAAAAGGGTCTCCGGTTCTCTACACTCACCATACGAAACACAGCAGCATAAAGTTGCTATTTTACGCTGGTATTCTGTGAGAGCGTGGTCCTTTCCCGGTCGAGCCGACCCATTCGTGCTACAACTATACTATTAATATAGCCGCAGCATGGTTCTACCACGTAAGAAATGTATGTATATATTTATACTAGCTATTCCCCGCGACTTCGTCCACATGTAATTTAGGGTTTTAATTTTTTTGCGAGGAATCCTAATTATTTTTCTAAAATAAATAGAATAGAATAGAATAGAATAATTTTTTATTCAATATTGATTATTACATAATACTTATTGAAAGTCATTTTTTATTTACCACTGGTTCGGAAAATACCTCTGTCCTGGGAAGAATCAGCAAGAAATCCAGCGGGACTTTTTTTTTCAAACATATTTCACTTAACGATAATTTCGTTTATACAATTTTTAAATGATTTTTCATAGAACCAGCATGGTGGCGATCACCCTATTCCCAGGGGTTATTTTCCTTCATGTATTCCTTGATATTATAATAACCCTTTTTGTACAGTTTTTCTTTAATAAAACTTTTAAACTTGTTTTTTTTTGCTTGATTTTGTTGTAAAAGCGTATACATTGCCCCATAAATTAATTACTGATTCTGTGGAGTCTAGTAACTGGCATTACAAGCTAATGTTTGTTCCTAGTGTTTAAAGTATGCACATCCTTATTCTTATTAAAGCTATTTATGTTTTTATGTACATACATTACATTTTCATAAATTTTTGTCTGAGGGACTCTTTACAATTTAGGTTATAAATCGCCCGAACGGCTGTCTTTTGCAAAACAAATATAGCTTCAATATCAGTCGCATTACCCCATAGCAAAATTCCATAAGACATTACGCTATGAAAGTAACTAAAATACACTAATCTAGCTGTCTGACATCTGTGAGACTTCTAATCTTTCTTACATCATATGCTGCGGAACTAAGTCTGTTTGCTAATTTAGATATATGGGGGCCTCATTGAAGTTTTGCATCAATAGTAATACCGAGAAAAACAGTGGTATCCACAAGACTCAACTCCTGCCCATTTAACAGCACATTGGTATTCGAATGTTTTACATTAGGTATTGTAAATTTAATACACTTTGTCTTATTGCCGTTTAAGAGCATATTGTTGGCGTTAAACCAATGAACTAGTCTCGATAGAGCATTATTTACATCGTCATATTTAATTGACTGCCGTTTCAGTTTGAAAATTAAAGAGGTATCGTCAGCAAATAATACTATATCGTGATTGTCCCCTACAAACAAATTTTTTACACCGTAATGTTGTAGTTTCCTGATTAATGTCTCATAATGAACACAATCGAAAGCCTTGGAAAGATCACAGAAAATACCTAAGGCATCTTGTGAATTCTCCCAGGCATTAAAAATATATTTCATAAGCTCAACACCGGCGTCAGACGTCGAGTGACCCCTTGTAAAATCAAATTGGTTTTTATGAAGTAATTTATTTGTATTAAAAAAAATTAACAATTTATCAAAAATTATTTTTTCAAAAAATTTACTGTGAGTTGGTAATACAGAAATAGGTCTAAAATTAGCGGGGTCCAATGTACTACCAGATTTAAATAAAGGTATTAGCCTAAGTTACTCCTTATGACATCGGCTATCTGCCAGTGAAAGTTCCGTCAAAATCGGTCCAGCCGTTTCGGAGATTAGCCGGAACAAACAGACAGACAGAAAGAAAGATATTTTAAAAAGTGTATTTATGCTATAAGTACCGTTTATACTTTCATATGCATTTAGTAAATCGCAGTAATTTTGATATTAAAACAGACACTTCAATTTTATTTATTTGTTTAGATATTTGTGTATATGTTATATGTTTATTATGTATGAGTGTATTTTTCTTATTTTTTCTTATAGGATAAGGGTGACAAACGAGCACACAGTCCACCTGATGGTAAGTGTTTGCTGCGGCCCATAGACATCTACATATATCCTCTATTACAAATCAAAATGTAGATGCGTTGTCACCCGTGAGGACTAAGATGGAATGCCTCATTTCCAGTAAAAAGGGCCTCCAGCCACCTGCACTCACCAAACGAAACGCAGAGGTAAACCTCTACTTCACGCTGGTTTTCTGTGAGGTCGTGGTACCACCCCGGTTCGAGCCGGCTCATCCGTGCGACAGCAAAAGCTGCCGTGTGGCTCTACCACTGTTACTGTATACTATGTACCTATATATTAACGCTATTTCATTCTCGTGTATATTATTTAGATAAATGAAATGTGTCATACGTTTATTTTATATAATTTTTTTTATGTACCATACAGATTGAATAAATAAATGCAATATTGTACACATCTATGAATACACCTATTCAATATTTTTCAATTTTCCATCGGGAAACCCTATGCAGCACTCATGGTCACGGGGAACAGAAGCTGAGGTGTTTGACGTCCTGTCTCGTTAACCCGGGCTAATGTTAGCTTTTAATTATTTATATTTGGTCCGATCTACGCTGAATGAGCTTACAGTGTCTTGAGGTTTTGCTGTGGTATGCTTGGGTTTCCTTCCTTTCCAGTCCAGTAGGTTGAATACGTCTTCCAATGCAGCGGTGAAGAGTTTCGGCGATATAACATCACCCTGTCTTACACCTCTCTGCAATTGGATAGGTTTCGTACTCTGGTTCTGTACTCGGATAGCCATCGTAGCTCTACTGCACAAGCACTTCAGCACTTCGATATAACGACAGTCAACTTGGCACCGCTGAAGGGACTGCAGCACCGCCCAAATTTCGACGGAATCAAAGGCTTTCTCATAGTCCACATACGCCAGACATAGTGGCAAATTGTACTCCTCGGACTTCTGTATAATTTTCCGAAAGGTATGTATGTGGTCTATGGTGCTAAAGCCTTTTCGGAAACCAGCTTGTTCGGGTGGCTGGAAGTCGTCGAGTCTGCATGCGAGTAGATTCGTAATGACTCTCGAATACAGCACGTAGACGCGGCTCAGAAGGGAAATCGGTCTGTAGTTCCTCAAGAGAGCGTTGTCGCCTTTCTTACAGAACAAGACCGCAGCACTTCTGCTCCACGCCTCCGGTGTAGTGCCACCATGGAGGATGGAATTAAAGAACTTCTGAAGCACTACAAATACAGGATTTCCACCCGCTTTCAGAAGCTCCGCTGTAATTCCATCCTCGCCTGGGGCCTTGCCGTTTTTAAAATGCTGGAGAGCCATTCTAATCTCGCTCAGACTAAAGTTTAATAATACTTATTTTTAAATTGCCGACGTTTCGCTTTCCAGCACCCGTGGTCACAAGCGACTGAGGTGATTGACCTCCCGATGTCAGAGATAACCCGGAGTACCTTCAGCTTTTTAATTATTAGTTTTGGTCCGATCTACGCGGAATGAACTTACTGTCTTGAAGTCCTGCAGTCGTATGCTCGTGTTTAGTTTTAATTTTATTAATTACAGGACCTCAAGTAGGTGGTCCCAGCTTCCCCCTCTATTGAAATTAGGTTATTTTTTTAATTTTAATAGCCGCTTTTTAGAAAGATGTCCTCGAACCAATATTTTGAAGGCTATCTATTTAAAGCTTTCATAATGTTTTCGGCTTAGGAGTTCCAGAGTAGTGTATTATTTAGCGTGTGTATTATTTGGTACGTAGTCAAAACAGGTAACTACATGAAATCGATTTCATAATATTTTTTAGGATTTGGATAGGTTATCCTGCTTACCTCTTAGAAATGATAATAGACCTATATTTTATAAGATAAGGGTGACAAACGAGCACACAGTACCTGATGTGAAGTGGTTGCTGTGGCCCATAGACATCTAATACTCGTATCTATCCTCGACTATGAATCAAAATGCAGATGCGTTCTCCCGTGAGGACTAAGATGGAATGTCTCGTTTCCAGTAAAAAGGGTCTCCTGTTCTCTACACTCACCATACGAAACACAGCAGTGTTAAGCTGCTATTTATGCTGGTATTCTGTGAGAGCGTGGTACTTCCCCGGTCGAGCCGACACATTCATGCTTCAAATATACCAGTAATATAGCTGCAACATGGCTCTACCATAACTTACTTCATATCCTTAGTTTTTTTATGATTTTTTTAAATCATCACTCCAATACAAAGAATTTCGCCTGTGTCATGGAGCCGTTGCATACAAGTCAACACCCGAAATAATTATTTGTATATACAATCATTTGCTCCAAGCGGGATTCGAACCCGCGGTACCCTGCAGCACCGCAGCCAAACACTTAACCAATTCCTTACTCTTAGCTTATCAAAGTGAAGTCTTTAACGCTGTAAATCTTTAAAAGTTTCATTAAAACAAAAGGGAACTCTTGCATAATGCTATGTTTTTAATAATTCATACACATTTTAATATTCATAGAGCGGTAGCACTCAAGTGCCTCTACTTAAAACAACGCTGTGAAGCAGGCTTGAAAATAATTGCTTAGTTTTTTTTTTAATAAAATAAAGGTGACAAACAAGCACACTACCAAACAGTACTCCAAACAGAAGTAAATAAAGACAATTAATAGATAAGTAGTGTAGCCTATAGACATCTACATCTATCTATACTCGATTAAGAATCAATGCGTTGTCATCCCTGAGGGCTTAAATGGAATGCCTTATTTCCAGTGAAATATAATTTTCAAGGGTCATTCAAAATATTATAAACAGTCTGCTTTATGAAACTATAGGAAAATCTTCTTGGCATACGAGCGTCTTAAAGTTTTCGAGGTATTTTTTAAATAACGTAACCACCACACTAGGATTTTCTCTTGTATCGTGGGGACAGTTTACGAACATAAATTTTACAAGGACAAACATCCAGACCCAGAACAATTATTTGTAGGCCATACAAATACTGGTTCCGTGCGGGATTCGAACCCGCGGCCCTTAGCGCTGTAACTCAATTGCTAAGCCACTGCGCCACGTTGCCGTCAAAAATAAGTTAAATCTAATTTAAATCTAGATAAAAAATTATTTAAATCAAACCCGTAAAAATAGTTATTCAATCTGTTAGTATCCTTGACTGTCGTCGCCGGCATGCTATGCTGTACTAACACAATATACAGTACTCGAAACACGGTCTATGTACACCAAAATTATACTTGAATATAACAGCTGTATCGCACTTAACATGTTAGTCTCATAAATCAATATCCGGTTAACGAACGAATGGTAAAATTAAAAATTTTGTACAACCTACTTCAATATCTTAGTCCTCATGGGTGACGACGCATCTGCATTTTGATTCCTTATTGAGGATAAATGTAGATGTTTATAGGCCGCAGCAACCACTTACCATCGAGTGGACTGTGCTCGTTTGTCACCTTATCCTGTAAAAAAAATATAAAATTAAAATATAACTCAAAAACTACTTTTCAGACCTTGATTATTCAGATTTCAAGTAAAAAAAAAGAATCATCGAAATCGGTTCACCGAGTAAGATGTTATGAGGTGGTAACACACATTAAAAAAAACATACAGTCGAATTAAGTACCTCCTCCTTTTTTGAAGTCGGTTGAAAAAGAAAAGCTACAACTTATATATCCTCTCTTAGGCACAGGCCTCTTCTTATTTCAGAGGAGGCCTGAGAGAATTATAGAGTTAGCTCGCCGCATTACTTCAGCGTTCGTTGATGGACTCCACATGTCAGGTTCCCCACGATGTTTTCTTTCTATACTATAATAAGTATCGTATACAATGTTTCGCATAGACACTACAGTAAGAAGCATAGGAACTGATGCTGGCGGGACTAGGATCTGTTTACTAGTCCCATACTGCGAAATTCAAAGTATGTCGGTAACCTATTTTCTCTTGGTTTTAAAATTAAAAGTGAATCAAATGTTTCATCGATATTTTATAGCTATAATATTACAACAAGAACATTATCATAAATAAATACCTAATAAATATTTAGCACAAACCGCAAATTGACGCACGGAACGTAACCGCGTCCACAAAGGACCAAACATCGCTCTTAGGTTTGTACGCACTTAAAAGTGAAATATAAACCTTGTTGCGTACAATATGCGAAGATGATGCATGCGATAAAGCTTATTCGAGGCGTATGTATTGCTCCTAGAGACTTAATTACCTTGTTTGTGTGATGTACCCAAATTCACTACAATATTGACGATCCACGTCGGTGTCCGTCTGTTGATTATGATTATTAACTGATTTCAATAACGAGGAGGTTCTACGAGTATATTCGACTCGTATGTTTTTTCTTATGTTAGTCTACGGATTGATGATTGAATGGCTGAACTAGTTGAAATTATTCTTCTTTTTAACCGACTTCAAAAAGGAGGAGGTTCTCAAATCAAGTGTATGTTTTATTTTTTATTTGTATGTTACGCGATATCTTCGCAGATTTTGAACCGATTTTAACGATGTTTTTTATTAAATAGTTTATACTTCAAGCGTGTTCCTATATAAATTAGGAGAATAAATGCTACCCCTAAAGGTGGCAAATAAATAACTACTTTTTTTTTTGTCTTTAAACAAACGTTACCCCCACACTAGGATTTTCTCCTGTGTCGTGGAGGCAGTTTACAAACATAAATTACACAAGGACAAACATCCAGACCCGGAACAATTATTTGTAGGCCATACAAATACTTGTTCTGTGCGGGATTCGAACCCGCGGCCCCCAGTGCAACAACTGATTGCTAAGCCACTGCGCCACGGAGCCGTCAAACTTTAGCAATTTGAACTCGATTTTTACTTTTTGGTAAAAGTTATAATCTAGACTACTATTATAAAGAGGAAAGATTTGTTTGTTTGTTTGAATTGAATAGACTCCGAAACTACTGGACCGATTTGAAAAATTCTTTCACCATTAGAATTCTACATTATCCCTGATGAACATAGGCTATAAAATATTTTAAAAAAAGTTAGGGATCCGTATGAAAACTTCGTTAATGTAACCCAAGGTGTGAAAAAAATACCAAAAAGAATCCTTATATCGCGTACGCTGCGGAAACTATTGATAATAACCATATGTTTAACTATAACAGTTATGTCACAATAACTACTTTTTCATGTTAAAATGTGAAATAGTAACGCCGGTACAAAATAGGCCACATTATTCGTATCAGTATTCAGTACCTGTATCATGCATAACCACCATGTAATTTTAGTAACATATTTCACTTTTAAATCTTTGTTAATTCAGCAACCGTCCGTCGTGATGTCTCTCTCGAAGTTCGCATGGCAAGGCGCAGACGCGTTATATACGCGGGTGAAACCGCGGGGCACAGTTATTATTAAATAGGCTTTACCTCGACGATGGTCCCATTTAAATTTTAAGAGAAAATGTTGCCCCTGAAAGAAATAGAGGTTAAAATTCTTATTATAACTATTCAAACGATAATAGAATTGTTACCTTGAGCTTGTGATGAGGGAATCATTCTTAGATTCACTATGCCTTAGCAATTCTATTCATATTTTTTGAAGTAGTTTTTATTTTTTATTAAAAGTTTAATTTTATTAGTAATGGTCGGCTCGATCGGGGAAGGACCACGCTCTCACAGAAAACCAGCGTAAAATAGCAGCTTAATGCTGCTGTGTTTCGTATGGTGAGTGTAGAGAACCGGAGACCCTTTTTACTGGAAACGAGGCATTCCATCTTAGTCCTCGCGGGTGACAACGCATCTGTATTTTGATTCGTAATCGAGGATAAATGTAGATGTCTATGGGTCACAGTAACCACTTACCATCAGGTGTACTGTGTGCTCGTTTGTCACCTTATCCTATAAAAAAATTAAGAAAATTTCACTCAGATGACTGCAATTCGGCAAGGTTTATTTCTATTAAGCACTTTATTTTGGAAAAATTTGATGTTGGCCCTGCAGCCTATATAGCTTAATCAGACTAGACTTGTAAGCGAGGACTTACGACCTATCGAACGCGCCACATCGCCAGAGGCACCCTAGCCCCTGTTTTTGGAGTGAAGCTCCTTGAGCTAGGGTGGCGGGAGGGGGGCTCGATGTGATTCAAGGTCCCCTCAAAAGGAGAAACGTACCTCGGCTTGAACCATTATCGAAATGTGGGAAACTAAAAAACTAAAAACGCCCCGTATCACGGGCCCCATATCAATATAGAACGCGGTGTGCCCTAGCTTTCTGTAGTATTGTAGTGTCAGAAAGTGTGTGATTAACAGTGTTAGTAAATCGAATTTTGTCGCCTGTGGAGTGGTCTGGCACAGTTATTATATTTACTGCGTATTATATATATAAATACAGACGTCAGTTTTAAAACTCTATTTTTTATTTAATATATTATATGATAATTTTTTTTTATTTTTTATTTAATATTTTCTTATTTAATCATCATCGTGAAGTGACAGTTAAAAACTTCTTTATCTTCTTTTATTAAGTCTTCTCGTACTATGTAAAATGGAGTAATACATTATATACACCAATCGCACATGGCAAAGTCACCAAACCTCACAAATCGCCATCTACAATATAAGTCATTTGTTTACAGTTTCGACGAGAATCTCCTACAATCGGGAATACAGCGCACAAACCTTCTTTTCGGTGGACTGTCACAATTACCGGACTACGTGGTGTCGGTAGCCGGCGGACACGATCCCTGGTCACCTATGGGGCCCAATGCCACAAATGCAACTCCTTTAGCGCCTGTTTATCTGGTGCCTAGGGTTTCCCATTGCCGGGCTATCAGGTAATAACTTTAATTAATTATACTTACTTTTAATTTTTAAAGATAAATTAAGTTTTCGTCCGTCTTCATTCTTGATATTTTACATGTAGAAAACATATAGAATAATAGAGCCTTATACCACATGGGATGTTAATGATTTAATGTAAACACATTGCAGACCTACAGGTGAAAGTGAGACAGAAGAATTGGAAGCGACTAAGCAAGCAGTTCTGCGCAACATGCAGGAGTTCCTGGACGGCAGACCACCTTCGCCAATCGAAAGCTCAGCAGCCACTTTAACTCCAATTGCCTTCACTTTAGCTACTGCTATTATAGTTTTGTGTAATTCTCGGTTTGCATTACTGTAGTCTTTCTTTAATTATAATAGGTTCTATTAATTAAAACAATATAAATAAAATATTTTGAAGATATTATCTCTTTAGTTATAAGATAAAAATGCCATATATGGATTAAAATAAGCATGATACTAGTAAGCTTAACCCCAAACGTAATGTTGGTAAAAATTACTTCGCGTACATCCGCTCGATAAAATAAAATGATGTGTCTTACACCTAGTTTGAAGAGCAAACACATCATTTTATTTTGTCGAGCGGATGTACGCGAGGTAATTTTTACCAACTTTAATATAATGGACTTCTGTAAAGTAACGCCTGATTCTATTAATTATCTTAACTCCAAACATTATTAAGCGAACAAAAAAAAATCAAACATTAGTTCGTCTTTTTATTGATTACTAAAAATACTAATATTAATGAGAATGTGACGAATAATGGTTATTTCCAATGATCCTCCTTGTACGCTCCAGTCAGAATATGTGTTTTCGATTAAAATTGTCTGGAACAAGCTTTATCTAACATTTTCAGCAGGAGTATATATATTCTGTTTGCCATAAAAAAATAAGGCAATCCCTTTTTTAATTTCGTTAATTAAAAAATACTACACAACTATACATCGAAACAAACAGCTGCTGCAAACAAAATGGTTGACAGATTGCACTCAATTTAGACCGGATCTATATTTGATCATCTTGACATGTCTCTTTGTCGTGTAACAAAGACGTGTATCATGGTCGATTGTTTGGACGCAACATTAAACGAGATCATACGCTGTTGTTACAACGTATCCGATAAGTCTCATGCTGCACATAACCTCGAATCTGATACACCTCATATCGGACACATATAGATATTGTGATCGGTGCAATGGTCGTATTCTGATTCTGTGTTACGATACGACAAATCGATACGACACTTGTTACTCCGTATCCCATCACTAGTTGGTCCTGCACAGTCTTGAAAGTTTGGAACTGGAGATAAAAGGTTCGGAGTTGAAAAGACCTCTCCATATAATAAAGAACCCTCATAATTTAAAACACGGCATGCCGATATGCTGACATAATACGATATGGTTAAGAGGGACGTCTTTTTAATCCCGATACGGCTGGTATTGGTTTGGAATAAGAATTAAGTTATTATTCCAAACCAATACCAGTTACCTTCAATTTTTTTAATAAAATTTTAACATTTATCTACCGCCAGATAGCAGTTATTACATTGCTGTGTATCAGGTCTGAAGGATGTAGGAAGCCATACATACTACACTGGCCATTTACTATCAGGTTGACTGTAATTCTTGCCTTCAAAATAGCAGCTTAATGCTATAATGAGTATGGAGAACTGGAAACCCTTTTTACTGGAAACGAGGCATTCCATATTTGTCTTAACGGGTGACAACGCATCTGCATTCTAATTCGTAATCGAGGATAGATGTAGGTGTCTATGGGCTATAGCACTTAACATCAGGTGGACTGTGTGCTCGTTTGTCAACCTTATCTTACAAAAAAATGCCTCTGCCTCTTTTAGTGGTGTACAACCCTAAAAGGCAAAACAAATACTAATTACAAGGAAATATATTATGGAAGTTTACACAGAATTGAATTACTAACGTAAATTATGTTAGAAGATTGTTTACAACATTTCGTAATGCTAATTGAATATTCAATTTGAGTTTGTAAATTATTAAATCAAAATGAGTAGTCTAATTAGTTTTGGCTACGAACTACGAAAACTTAATTAATAGATCTAAAGAAAACTATTTATTGCGGTAAAGTTTTGTTGTTAGAAAGGTGGAATTACAGCTTCATCGGCCGTCGTTTTTTAGGTGGAGGAGTCACACTGCTGTATTACACTTTCAACATGAATGTGTCGGCTCGATCGGGGAAGGAATATACTCTTACATAATAAAACTAAAAATGTAAAGATGCAGCTATATTCTACGTGACAAAGCCATGATACCATTATACAGTTGTACCACGAATGGGCCGGAAAAAAATCCTTGAAATACGGACAAATACTTTATGAGTTCTGATTTTACTTTCTAGGTATGGAACCCTAAAAAACACAGCTTATAACTGATACTGTTACATTTATATAGTATATGTGTAATAAATGTAAAATATATATTTCACATGGAGTCACGTTGCAGCTATATTAGTAGTATAGTTGTAGCACGAATGGGTCGGCTCGACCAGGGAAGGACCACGCTCTCACAGAATACCAGTGTAGAATAGCAGATTTCGTATGGTGAGTGTAGAGAACAGAAGACCCTTTTTACTGGAAACAAAGCATTCCATTTCAGTCCTCAGGGGAGACAACGTATCTGCATTTTGATTCTTAATTAATTTAGATGATAAATGTAGATGTTCATCAGCCACAGCAACAACTTACCATCAAGTGGAATGTGTGCTCGTTTGTCACTTTTATTGTATAAAAAAAGACAATATCCTCCTACAGGGCTATTCTGTGGAGACATCACCCTGGTGGGGATCATTTGCCGGTGTAAACCACTCTGCAGCTATGTAACATGTTTTTTCATTGTGGAAATAAAAATGTCCTCCAGAGCGAATTTCGGTCATGACGGTCAATCTCAACGGAGACTAGCCACCTGCGCAAGACAGGATTATAGTGCCCGAGTGTATACACGACCTGTTGTCTCATGTTTTCCGAGGCACGGGGGTGAACTACCGCCAACTTCCTGACTCCGGGTTGTTACAGAGATTTTCTAGATAATTGACCGGCCTTGTTATCAGCAGTCGCGTTTTGGACCACTAAATCAACAAGGCAGTAGTTTTTGATATTGTGATAATGTTTGGTAACCTAAAATGTGTATGAATCGCGCTTTCTGTAGTGTGAAAAATAATAGTTTAAAAAAAAGCTTTTGTAGATTAACCGAATTAAAAAGTAGAAAATAATTCTCAATAAGTTTAAAATAAGAAAATAGTGATTAATATTTAAAAAAAAAACATTTTATTGTAAAAAAGCGTGAGGTGATTTTACAAATAGCTAATAATATATTTATAAAAATGTTTATACGTGGTAGAGCCATGCTGCAGCTATATTAGTAGTATAGTTGTAGCACGATTTGGTCAGCTCGACCGGGGAAGGACCACGCTCTCAGAGAATACCAGCGTAGAATGGCAGCTTGTGTTTTGTATGGTGAGTGTAGAGAACCGGAAACCCATTTTACTGGAAAAGAGGCATTCCATCATGATTCTTTATTGAGCATAAATGTAGATGTTTTTATGTGCTCGTTTGTCACCATATCCTATAAAAAAAGCCACAAATTTATTTACAACAAATGACATCAAGCAGCTTACGCTTTTTTACAATAAAATTATTTTTTTATGTTATTCACTATTTTCTTAATTTATTTTAATCACTATTTTAAACTTCATGCAAATTATTATCTACTTTTTAGTTCGGTTTTCTACAAAAGCGTGTTCTTTTAGTGTTTTTTTTAAACTATTATTTATTTTCTATTTTTTAATGCGGCTAACTACAAAAGCGTGTTTTTTTGACGCAGTTCTTTTACGCGGCTGATAGAAAATTGAACTTGCAGATATAGTAGTAGCTTTATGAATTATTCGCAAATTCTGAGGATCCTGGCAAGGATAATGGGACAAACTATTTAAATTATTGCATTGTCACCAGTACTTGATAAGTGTGCAAAGTATCAAATCAATCCGACGTTTTGCAGAGGATAGAAATAACGTTCAAAAATTCCGTTACATAGATACATTCCAAGCTAATAAAAGCATGTTAAAAAGCTGTATAGTTGTACCACGAATGGGTTGGTGCAGCGTAAAAGAGCAGATTAATGCTGCTATGTTTCGTTTCTTGTACTATTTATGTATTTATTCTGTAGTTTCGTATAGCAAGCGAAAAGAACCGAGACCATTTTTACTATACTCGTAAACAAGGTATATACCTTCTTAGTCCTCGGGGGTGACGCGTCTGCATTTTGCTTCTTAAACAAAATATACTCTTTGTTCGAAGTTGGTTGCAGGTGTCTATAGCTAGCAGTAACCACTCGCTATCAGTAGAACTATTCGTTTCCGTTACTCAAATTTTAAAAAAAATAAAAACTTTGGTGTGTATATGACAATTTTTTGCGCACTTGGATTTCTGGGCACTATGATTCCACTAAGTATCAGCGCTGCAACATTCCATGTTGTAGCAGGTGCCGATTGATATCTTTTATAACTTTATTCTAAGATATTCTCTAGCTATACACCAATTTACAAGGTATTTTAGAACACTAATCAGTCTACACGACAAGAAAAGGATTCACAGAATACCAACGTGAAGTAGCTTATTTATACATTATTTACACACACCATACGAAACACAGCAACAATATGCTGTGTTTCGTATGGTGTGTGTAAATAACCAGCGACCGTTTTACTGGTAACAAGCAACGCATCTACAATTTTGATACTTAATCGAATAATTCTTTGATTGTTCATCGTAGGTGTATATTAACCATAACATCTATTTACCATCACATCGTGAGCTCGTTTCTGATTCTTCTCTACATAGTATAAAACAAAGTCGCTTCCCGCCGTCTGTACGCTTAGATCTTCTAAAACACGCAACGGGTTTAGATGTAGTTTTCAACAACAGACAGTATAATTCAAGGGATATGTCGATGGTAGAAATGGGCGTGCCTCAAGGCTCAATTCTCGGCCCCTTTGTGTTTCTTGTATACATTAATGACTTACCTTATATAGCAGGAGATAACCATGATATAGTATTATTTGCAGATGACACTTCTTTAATTTTCAAATTAAGTCGACAATTGCTAAAATATGACGAAGTAAATAATGCTATATCTAAATTAGTAAATTGGTTCAATGTTAATATTTTTTATTTTATTTTTAAATGGCACTAAAACGAAATGTATGAAATCCATGACTCCAAATGTCAAACAATTAAATACTAATGTAATTTTAAATGGGGAGAAACTGAGTCTTGTAGATACCACCATTTTTCTTGGAATCACACTAGACGCGAAGCTTCAATGGAGCCCCCATATATCAAAACTAGCAAGCAGACTTAGTTCTGCAGCATATGCTGTAAAAAAGATTAGAAGTCTAACTAGTGTTGAAACAGCTAGACTATTTTACTTTAACTATTTCCATAGCATAATGTCGTATGGTATTTTGCTATGGGGACACGCAGCTGACACTGAATTTATATTTGTTTTACAGAAGAGGGCCATAAGAGCAATTTATGATTTAAAGCGTAAAGAGTCGCTGCGACAAAAATTTAAGGAAATTAATATATTAACTTTGGCCTCTCAATACATTTATGAAGATGTAATGTACGTACACAAAAAAAAAAGTAGTTTTACAAAAATAAGTGATATTCATTCTGTAAATACTAGGAACAGACACAAGCTACGAGTAGTAGTACCAGTTACTCGACTCCATCGAGTCAGTAATTCATTCTTGGGGCGATGTATACGCTTTTACAACAAAATTCCAGAAAATATACAAAGTTTGACCTGCTCAAAGTTCAAAAACTTTATTAAACTAAGTTTGTATAAAAAGGGTTATTATAATATTAAAGAATTTATAGATGATAATAACCCCTGGAAATGAGGTGATCGCTACCAAGCTATTTCTAATTTGTTGTGTTGTTAATTTGTGTATCATACAAGATTGTAAGCTGTTATTTAAAAAAAAAGTCCCGCTGGGTTTCTTGCTGGTTCTTCCCAGGACAGAGGTTTTTTTTTTCGAACCAGTGGTAATTATACAAAAGAGTGACTTTCAATAAGTATTATTTATAATCTATATTGAATAAAAAAGTTTCTGTTTCTGTTTCTGTTCCTATATGTATAAAACATGCATATAGAATTATGCAATTCATCTATCCATGTATATATGACTGAACTCCCCTAAACGGCTAGATCGATTTTTATGAAATTTTGTATGTATGATTAAATCGATTCGATTATGGCTTAGATTCACAATTGGACCCGGCAGGTGGCGCTGTTGTAGAGATCCTGAAATTACCCGTGCGAAGCCGGGGCGATCCGCTGATATTTTGTAAAAATAAGAATGAACTAGACATGTTTATTTATTATAATTCAACTACAATTAACTCATTTTCCTCTTCACTTATCCAGCGACTCGTCATTAAGGAAACAAACCCACACAGACTGAATCATTATGCAGTATTTAATTAAGAACATATATCTGTCGTTCTCAGTAGCGTCCGACATACAGCACCATACAGCATCATGCACAAATTGATCATTCTTACTTTTGTTTGTTTGTTTGTCGCATCTTTGGCGAGGTCTGCACCAAGTACCGAAGAGGCCTTGGATAATGGTGATTGGTTTTTGAAACCTAAAGATGTTGGAACCAAAACAGAAAATAATCCAAATGTGAGAAACTTGCATAGAGCCAAAAGGAGCTTCTATTTCCGGGGATACTGGACGTGCCCCATTGGATATATCAGAAGTCCAGCTTTTACTTGTGTAACGTGTGAAAAGTGAGTATTTGAACTTATTGTTTATAGAACTGACAACGCGGAAAATAGTAGGTTGGTGCCAGGTCCTCTATTTAGTTCTAACCCATGTCATAAAAACTGTGATTGTTACGCTAAGCATCTGAGCTACCTCGGCGCTCACTGTCACTTCTGTGGACTAAGATTATACTGTTGATTTTTTTACTGGCGCTACAAAGGGAAACTGGAACATGAGACGGGCAGCATCATCTTCCTGATAACTACTCAAAACAGTAAAAATAACTGAGGTTACCAACCCGCTTGTCAAGCGTGGCAAATATGGCGTAATCCCCCTCTATGAGGCAATCTATTGGGGAGGACTATGTTCAGCAGTGGACTTTTATAGGCTATAGACTTTTATAATAAATGGATGGAATGGAAAAAAAATAATTGAGGACATATGCTGTGCAGTGGCGATATAACAGTGTTCCTCATCTGATCTATACATATTGTATACTCGGCCCAATGGAAGAGCAGTCACCCAACACAAGCATTACCACATGCTTCCTGGGCGACTCTGGCCACAAAATAATGCACAAAATAATTTATTTTTATTACGTGCGGTATCTATATAGTTTTCTCATCTAGTTGGGCTGTATAAATATATAATTGTTAATGAAAATAATAAACATACACAAATATCTTTAAAATAAAATAAATACATAAATATATTAAAACCCAACCAGATGGAAGCCCTCGGCAGGGGAGACCAAACGGCCGAGGGTTAGGGAAAAATTGAAAGAAACCGGCGTACAATATCGACGATTATTATTATTATTATCTCGTCTTACATAACATACATACATATACATAAACACTCACGCCTGTCACCCGGAGGGGTAGGCAGAGACTACGGACTTCCATTTGGCGCGATCCTGACACACCTCTCTCGCCTCTTTTACATCCATATATCTACGCATACACGCTCGTCGGTTATGGGTACTCCTAATCTGGCCCATTTTTAATGTATCGCCGATTTGGTCGATAAACCTTCGTCTAGGGCGTCCCTTCCCGACCCTGCCGTTCACTTCCGCAACATAAATTTGCTTTGTCACTCTTTCCTCGTTCATTCTTTCTACATGACCAAACCACCGAAGCATTCCTTTCTTAATCCTTGTCACAACGTCATCTTGCAGACCACACTTTTCTCTTATCACACTATTTCTCACCCTGTCATTCAGATTCAGCCCTAGCATACTCCTTAAGGAACGCATTTCTACAGCATTTATTCTACTCTCATGCTTCTTCTGCCAGACCCAACTTTCACTACCATACATTAAAGTAGGGACTAACACAGCATTATGAATTGCCATACGTGCCTTAGTTGACACATTCTGACTCCTCATAATAGCGTGTAGAGCCCCATTCACTCTATTTCCTGCGTTCACTCGTCGTTCTATATCCTTATCATATCTACCATCCCTGCTAAATAAACATCCCAAATATACAAATTCATCCACTTGCTCAATCAACTCCCCTTCTATTCTTATTTCACATAAAGTTTTACTTTCTTCTCTTTCAAAAACCATCACTTTCGTCTTACTTGCGTTCACTTTCATACCCCTTTCTTTCAATGACCAATTCATTAAAGTAACCATCATTTGCAACTCGGCCGCCGACGATGCAAATATGACTTGATCATCGGCGTACAAAAGGCATTTGACGGTTGACTCACCCATTCTCAACCCACATTCTTCAACTTTCAAAGTTTGCAAACAACTGTCCATAAATAAGTTAAACAGCCACGGGGAAGCCACACATCCCTGTCTGACACCTTTATGAATGCCAAACCAGTCCGAGTAGACCCCGTTGATCCTGACACAAGCACTAGAGTCCCTATAAAGAGATCTTAATGCCTGTATCAAGCCAGCGCTCAACCCAAATGAGTTCAGTGTTTGCCATAACACATTCCTGTCCACTCTGTCATAAGCCTTTTCCAAGTGCATGAACGCACAAAAAACTTTCTGGTTTTTAGCCAAAAACTTCTCCGCTATCATGCGCATGGAAAAGACTTGATCCGTACACCCCATCCCCTTTCTAAATCCAGCTTGCACATCCCAAATTTTTCCATCAGTTTCTTCCATAACTCTTTCAATTAACACCTTAGCATACAGTTTACCCACAATGCTAAGCAAGCTGATACCACGGTAGTTTTTACAGTCCTGCTGCGACCCCTTTCCCTTATATATTGGGACTATAACGGCTTTGCACCAGTCTTCCGGTACCCGTTTCAGTTCCCAACATAAATTAAACAAGGTGTGCAGCAGGCCCGTCACCACACCATCACCAGCCCTTAGCATTTCGAGTGATACTCTATCATATCCGGCTGCCTTACCTGCTTTCATGCTTTTCATTGCTTTCATTATTTCATCTACACTTATCTCCCTACCTCTCTCCACTTCTTCCGGAATTTCTATTTCACTTATTCCAGACGACTCTTCACTCTTAAACACGCTTTCAAAGTATTCCTTCCATCTCTTTAAATTCGAAACTTCATCATTCAGCATGCAGCCATTCTCGTCTCGTATAGCATTTATTCTAGGCTGTTTTGAATTTCCCCTGGCAGTTCTTACGAGCTTCCAGAACATTTTAATATTTGCCTGGAAGTTATCAGATATCCTTCTATCATTCTTATCTATCCTTTCTTGCTTTTTCCTTTCAACAACTTCTTTTACTCTCTTATTTATACGTCTAAAGTCTGCCTTTTTTCTTTCAATCTCATCATTCATACCGCCAGAATTACCAGCTTTAGTTGCTAGTAAATCTAGCCATGCTCTCTTCTTTGCTTCAACTTCCATCCGTACCTCATCATCCCACCACAACGTATTACTTTTCCTTTCATTCGTTCTCTTACTTACACCGCATACTTCGGTGGCTGCATCCACCAAAACTTTCTTAATATTATTCCATACATTCTTCAATTCTACAGTGTTATGTATAATATCTATTTCTTTTAATTATATTAAAAGTCACGTTCTGGATGATAATCTCGTATTCCTAGGTGTCGGTCTGGGTAGATACTCCCTCCTAGGGTTACCAGATGAAAAAATTAAAAGTCCGGAGAAGAGGCCTGATTTCCATTTAAAAATCCTGCGATTTTTTTACAGTTTGAGAAGAAAACCTTACTTAAAAAGGTATCTTCACATATTAAGTATGATAAAACTGTTTAAGTACCTACTTTGATAAATAAATTTTGATTTTAATTGTGGAATTATTACCAAAGGAAAATTATTTTTAGTTTGTTTAACTTTTTACTAAAGAGATCTTTAAAATGTAAGCTGTATTATATTGAAAGTTCTAAAAATCCTGAGATTTCATGAGATTTGCAAAATCCAGCCGCAATCCTGAGGAGTCTAAAAATCCTGAAATCTCAGAACAAATCCTGAGATATGGTAACCCTACTCCCTCCCCTCCTAGCTATTCCTGCAGACAAAAAGCAGTGCGTGCACTGGATGTTGTGATCCGGTCGGTCCGGGTGAAAGTCAATAAATTCTATTAAGCTACGAGGCATTCCATTTTAATCTTCGGGACTAACAACCCGTCTGTATATATGTATTTTGTCATCCTTGTTTGAAAATGGCCGCAAGTGTCCATGGGTATACGGACAGTGATGGACCATCAACAGGCAGTGGTCACGTACTATCAGGTGGACCGTAACCTCGGTTCGTTCGTAGTAGTGGTTTAATTTTTTTTTATATAGAATAAGGGTGACAAACGATTATACAGTCCACCTGATGGTAAGTTGATACTGTGGTCACCTACCAAGCGTACCCACTTTGGTAAACATTCTCACTATGATGCAATCTATTGGGGAGGCCTATGTACAGCAATAGACTTATTTTTTTTAAAAACGTTACCCTCACACTAGGTTTTTCTCCTGTATCGTGGAGGCGGTTTGTAAACAAACATAAATTGCACGAGGACAAACATCCAGACCCGGAACAATTATTTGTAGGCAATACAAATACTTGTTCCGTGCGGGCTTCGAACCCGCAGCTCCGGCGCATCAACTCATTGCTAAGCCACTGCACCACGGAAACGACTTTTGATAGACTGTAATGATGACGATTAAAGTTATTTTATTTCTGTCTTCTCATTCCCATTTTCCTGGTTTTTTTTTTGTATATTTGACATTGTTCATCATTTCAATGTATTGTGCTGACCATAAGTTATTATAGCATGTATAAATGAAATGTTAACTATCTATGTTGCTAATTTCGCTGTTAAACAAACCTAAATCTGGCACTTTAAAACATCGTGTCGTGCCATGAGATGATAGAATTGACTAATTCGCGTTAAGACGTTGATGGCATTCGAAGGGTAAAGACAAATCCTCCCTACAACTAAACAGACTCATGTTCAGCAGCGGACTACGCAGTGGTGTAGATGAATTTTGCATGCCTTAAGCGCAAAACGCGTAGGTATGTTCTACTGGCACCTAAAAATCAAGATTCCAACGTTATGTCACACGAAATCGTATCTAACAATCATATTGAACATATAAATGATATAAACTTATTATTTATTTTTAAATTGATTAATTGCTATTTTTACAAAAAAAAATAGTTAGTGGCTTATGGTGTAGATTTATCAAGTCCGCACGCTGGGGTAAATACGATGACTTTTGAAAATATCAATTGTTTAACTCAATCTATTTTCTGCCGACTTCCAAAAAGGAGACGGTACTCAATTCGACTGTATGTTTTTTTATGTGTTTTACCTCATAACTTTTTACTGGGTGAGATTTCGATGATTATCTTTTATTTGAAAGCTGGTACTTCTCGTGTGGTCCCATATGAATTGATCAAGGTCAGATCAGACATAATTTTAAATTATTTAATTTCTTCATCTACATGTGGGAAGCCATGAAATGTAAATAGCAGTTTAATTTTGTTTTGTTTAGATTAAATTTTTTTTTCGGCAGAGAATTGTCGACATTATCGGTATTTCGAGTAGCCTCGTAATAATTTACTTTACTAAATACACTTTGCCTCACAGCTCACTCGCACTTCGGGCTCGGCCGCCGTCGTAAGTGGAATACTGTATCGTTAGCTTACAGCAGCGGTATTAGGCAGTAAAAATACCGATTCCTGTAGAAATACAAAATATTCCAAAAACCAAATTTGATACATACTTGACCAAGGTTATTCTTTTATTTGCAGTTACAAAATGATTACCGGAAAGTCCTGTTAATTCTAACTAAAGAGACATATTCAAAGTGCCCACAGCTCACTCACACAGTTGTGTAACAAGATTGATCAAGCACGCCACTTCTTGCCGAGATAACTCTTCGGTTTCGGTGAAAATTAAAAATGAAATAAATATATATTTTAACATAAAACTTGTTTTTCCTTTTAATAAAAACGTTACCCCCACATTAGGATTTTGTCCTGTATCGTGGAGGCAGTTTACAAACTTAAATTGAGCAAGGACAAACATCCGAACTCGGAACCATGGAGCCGTCGACAACTTGCATGTATTTACTTTTATTGGTTATGTTTATGTAAAAAATTCATTATGATAGACTAGTTTTTATATTAATTTCAATTTGCAAGCGACCTAACAGTCCACCTGATGGTAAGTAACTACTTATAGTCCATGGACAGCTGCAGCCAATTTCAAACAAAAAAGGCTATAGATGCGTTGTATCATCTGACGACTAAGATGAGATGGAATGCTTCACATACTATAATTAACTGGCTCTCATTCTTCAGACCGGAACAAACCAGTGTATGTACTGGAACACACCAGTGTATGTACTGGAACATACCGGTGTATGAACTAGAACACACCAGTGTGTGTACTGGAACACACCAGTGTATGTCCTGGAACACACCAGTGTATGTACTGGAACACACCAGTGCATGTACTGGAACACACCAGTGTATGTACTGGAACACACCAGTGCATGTACTGCTATTTGTGGTGCCTAGCCTGATGAACTTCTAAGCCATCATAGCCCTAATAAACCAATCAGTCAACAAAGCTGACTAAAATTAACTTTTCTGTTCGTACACCCTGACGCGCTCCTCTTATTATATCGATTATTCGAAATCGATTTGATTTGATGGAAAAAATTCATAAGCTAAATAAAGAGGTATTTTATATAGAATAAGGATGACAAACGAGAACACAGTCCACCTGATGGTAAATGGATGTCGTGGCCCATAGACTTCTATATCTATCCTTGATTTAGAATGAAAATTTAGATGCGGTGCCACCACAGAGGATTAAGATGAAATGCCTAGTATCCAGTAAAAAGGTTTCCGGTACTCCACGCCGGTATTTTGTGAGAGCGTGGTTCTCCCTCGGTCGAGCTGACCCATTCGTGCTACAACCATAATACATATAGATGCAGCATCGCTCTACCTCGTAAGAAGGTAAAGGTAAAAGCTCTCAATAATGATTTCTTTTATTTTTATTATTATTACTACAGCCAGAATGCCACAAAACGCAGTGCTACGACACTTGTACTCGCCCTACACTTCGCCTACCGGTACGAGGCTGCCACTCGAGAACCTTTCTTCCCCATTATTTGTCAGTTATTCGAGCTATATGGCCGGCACATTGCCACTTCAGCTTACTGATCCGTTGGGTTGTGTCGAATAGTTTTGTTCTACTGAAGATGTCTACGAGCATAGCCCTCTGCATAGCTCCTATTTCTTATATTTATTACTACCGATCCGCTCCGGCTTCGCACGGGTGATTTTTAAATCTCGACAGCATCACCACCTACCGGGTCCAATTGTGAATTTAAACCATCCAGAGACCAATCAAACCCACACAAAGAAATTCATCAAAAATATTTGATCCGTTTTCGAAAGTAACCTTCAGAACAATTATTTACAACCGTTGCCGTTGTCGTTACCGTTACAGCCTATGCAGTCCACTGTTGAAAATAGGCCTCCCATATAGATTGTCTAATAGAGGGGATATTTGCCAGTTTCCACGCTTAGCAAGCGAGACGCTGCTGCCAATCTCCTGATTTGTTTCCCCTCAGCCGCCTCTTACGACACCCACGTTATGATATGGGGTAGTGAATATTCTTACACCGCCACTACACGATAAATTATTTGTAATCCATAGAAAAACACGATCCGTGCGTTATTCGAACTATTCAAGCGATCACAACAAACATAAGTATGACATAATTTTTTTTATTAATGTTGCGCGCCACTATTAATGTCTAGTACATGGTAACACTAGTTACCACTAACGCCGTCTAGTGTCGACCAGCAGAACCAGGAGAGACAAGATCCTTCTAGAAATTTCGGGATCGATATGTACTCGAACATTCTAGATGCTTCTACAGTAGAAGGTTCTGGAAACTATCTGAGGCCCTATATAAGGCTGGTATAGACCAAGACCGAGTCAGTATTGAATTGGCGATATAAACGAATACTTCGAAGCGAAATCACTGCGAACTAAAGTGATCAGTAGTACAATTGTATTTTATTATTAGTGTGGTTTTAAATTGTAATTAAAGTGTCAATTTTGGTAATTCAATCGGCAGTTTTTTATCGTCTCGAACCCCAAGCTCGTAACATTAATTTTAGTTTTATATGTTTAGATCGTAAGGAATAAAATGGAAATAAAACGAGGAATCTCTGTAAAGGTATTTATTTATACCGCTATCTATTTATTACAATATTTGTCTACACGGAGAGGTGAGTGAAAGCGATGGAATAGTAATGTGCGGGCGCACGCAGTGGAGGTGGATTACGAAAAGGACAGATTCGCTGAAACTATACATACGTTTATTTTATCTACCCTCAATTCCATACGAACTTCGTCATAAGACTTCAAATCCATATACAAAAGACACTTTCATGATTTTTTGATATAATTAAAGAAAACACAATAGGATACCTTTTATAGTGTCATTTTTCGAGTCAAATAACCTAAAGCCGATTTACAATATACAATTTTTTAAATAATTTTTTGATTTATAATAATTTAAAAAAAAAACAAAAGAGCTTTTACTGACCCATTATTTGAAGAAGAAATATAACTCTAAAGTCAATTAAAGGTCTCTCACACAAAAGACAAGGCTACCATGTTTTATCAAAATAAATATGTAGTGGCAGCAAAAAAGTTTAATAACGATTTTATTTTTGATTGGTCAAATGGTCCCCGGGACTTCCCTGCGCACACCCATGATGCAATAAATCTAATACAGATTAAAAATTACTAAATTAATTTTACAAGATCCGATCATAACATTTTCAATGCTGAATAAACGTATAAAATAACACGGTATATATAAAATATGCCAATATTTATTCCCCAATATAACAGTCCATTACAAAGCTCGCGATTCATTATACAAATTGGAAAATGGATGGGTCTCTTTTGGTCTAAGCCTAGCCTAAGTTACAAAATATATATTCTCTTGTACGTCCGTATATATGTATGAAAATCGTTAAATATACACATTAGATAATTATATACAAGCTGTTTAAAATATAATCGTCGGTCAGTTAGTTTTGTTCTGATCAAATGTAGGAAGATTTTGTGTAGTTTAATCCAAAGTTAAGAGTAAAGTTTAATTAACTGACTTCAAAAAGGAGTAGGTTCTCAATTCAAGTGTTATGTTTTTTGTATGTATGTTACGCGATATCTTCGTAGATTTTTTTTATTGATTTTATATTTCAAGGGTGGTCCCACATAAATTTGGAGAAAAAATTTCACCCCTAAATAAATAAATTCTTTTTTAGCAATTTGAAGTCGATTTTTACTTTTGTTAAAAGTTACAATTATTTCGGAATTAGTTAGTATATGCTCTTCCGTGAAATAAAACTAATGGATATCGTGGTGAAAATTAAAAGGTAGAGGAATATCATTTAAAAATATGAATTCAATTATTTGCCAAGCGTGATTACCCAAATACTCTCAACATAGGAAAGATCTTCGTTTAACAGTCAACTAGTTACAAATTAGATAAAGGTTATTTAGTAATCAACAAAATGCACATATTTCTATTGTAAACGTTTTTCCCCATAGGTACTCCATACAATATGATATATTGTCGTTATTTATTATATTTAAAATTAATTAGTTTTTTTTCTCGTCTTGTTTGTGGGATAATGATTTTGATAAGTTATTATTAAATTAAGGATATTTATGGAGGTCTTTGTAAGTAAATTTTCATTTATTTATTTTTATCATACATCCATTATTACAGTGGCGACATCTACCAGTGAACTGTGTAACATAGTGCAACAAACCATACATACACAGTCATTCAACGAATTTAAAAAAATGTAAATTAAATTAATATTAATGTTATATTCAATTGCATTGTTTACAAGACAGTACATTAAAACATACAAAATGATATATTCGAACCAGCAATACGTCAAATATCAAGACATTTATCACTGAAATTCTTGAAAACACCTACGTGAGTACACTCCAAAACAATTTTAATTATCTAATTTAATAGTAATTCTACTAAATCTACAACAAACTAGTGTGAGTACTATATCCCAACAGTGGGCTATCACAATTACCCAAACGATATAATGTCAAACATGCAATAACAAAGAATACACATATACATTGTATATTAGAGATATATAAATTAAACAGCTTATATATATTTTAATTATTCGTGTTACGGTTAAATATGGCAATGCAAAAAGGTACATGTTGCGTCGTACGACTCGTTTTGCGACAAGTCGCCAGACAGATCCGGTCCACGATTTGACTCCGGTGTTGTTTTGAACTCGAGACCGAGTTTCAAGCCTACAAAGTAAAATATTATAAAACTACAAAATATCCTAACATCTTTTATATTTGGAAAGGACTTGAAACCAAGAATTTAGATTTTACGTCGAAAAAAAAGAAGATTGATCATTAATTTGTTGATTGGTTATTCTGTATTGATTACAGGTAACGTCAACAAAAAAAGAGTTTATTATGTCTATTTAATTGTTTTATATTTTATGTTACAGCTTGTTTTGCTGTCGGTCTCGAGTTCGGAATTAAATATCCTAATATTGAAATAACAGCCGTGTTAATTATATACAGCAATTTACTCACGAATATTGTCCGATATAATACTTGCAGTGCATATGGTATATGACACCAATATAAATCTTTATCATACAAAACACATACAAACACCGAGACTGTCGTTGACGAAGCTCCATCTAACATATTTACACTTAATAACAATAACTTAAAACACCAAATAGAAATATGTTATGAGGAAATTGATAATCGTCCTACTTAAGTGACTTCACATATTAACTTACGTATGGAATATTATTTTTTATAATATATAATATAATATATAAACATTGAATACTACAGACAACTTACAACGATGTAAAGGTAACAAGGATGAAAAAAAAACAATTATTACAAAATATACAAAAGGTTGGTTTCATATTCGATATAACTACGAGTTAGTCCCGTTTAAACAAAGAAATATAAAAATATGATTTTTTTTTAAATTTGCTGACGCTACTATGAAACAAAAACAATTAACGATATTATTGAACAGACAAAAATGCTTCCAAAAAGCTTGCATTTAATACATTAGGTAAATTTCCATGTGACCCTTCATGGCCGAAGAGCGAATTACGTCAGTTTCGTTGGACCAGCCGTGTGAGTCGCAGGTTCAGTTGTTAAAGTTAGAGCACGTGGCCGTGCGGTCGTCGATTCGATTTGACTTTTTCTTTTCTAATGAGAGATCACCCTCCGTTGCTTGGTTGGTCCTGAAAATTTTAAAGATCATTTTAAAAAAAAAATAACTTAAGTAAAAAATCGTAAGATAACATATTGTAATTTGTAACACATTTTCTTCCATTATCCATCCATCATAGCCTATAAAAATCTAATGCTGAAGACAAGTCCATAAGCTTCTTAGTTAAGATTAAGAATAGATTGTCTCTAGGAAGGATTTTGACATAGTTGACATGTTTGGCAGGCCGATTGGCAACTGCAGTTTTTCATTATTGTGAGCTGTTCGCTAAGAAGCTGCTGCCCATCTCTTGTTTTAGTTTCCCTCTGTCGCCTCTTACGACACCCACGGGACGAAATACCTAGTCAGATCATAAATTCTGTCACATGTTTAATATAAAATAATTGAAACAAGTTTATTCATTATGTAACCATTTATATACCAAAATGAACTTAACAAAACATAGATTCTTATGACACTAAAGTTTATTCAAAATGACCTCCGTGATTTTGAATACAGGCCTTCAATCTGCGCGGCCAGTCGTCTATCGCAAACGAACGAGGTTCATGTCAATATCGGCGACTGCCTTAATCAAGGATGTCTTGAGTGACTCCAAATTGGGATGAGGCTTTGAGCACGCCTTTTCCTCCAAGTGTTGCCATATCTTGTAATCTAACGGATTCAAATCTGGACTGGAGGAGGGCCAGTCTTCGTGCCGGATGAAGTCAATTTCACGCGCCACCAGCCAGTCTTGTGTGCTCTTCGCTCTATGAGCTGGCGCCAAATCTTGTTGGAATTCCCAGTGCCTGTTATAGAACATGGTATGAGAAACAGGTTCCACAAGGTTCGTCAGGACTGTATTTTGATACACAACTGCATTCGTTTTTACACCTTTCTCACAAAAATGTACCTCTGTTAAGCTCCAATAAGAAACTCCCAACCATACCATGAGCGAGGATGGAAAATGACCTCGTTGGACACGCGGAATACGGTTGCTCGCTTCTTCACTACTGTGTGCGTACACGTTATCATTTTGTTTGTTGTAGCTCTCTTCTACGATAAAATTTTTTCATCCGAAAAAAGAATTTCCCGATATTTTTTTCCCGTGTACCGCTTCAACAAAGCGCGGCATCTCTTCAGTCTCAGGTCCATTAGACGAGCATTCAAACGATGTCCTGTTTTTCTTCGATATGCCCGAAGCCCTAAGTCTTCATTTAACACCCTTTTCACCGTGGTTCTGCTTAACCCCATCTGAAGGGCCAACAGTTTCTGCTTACGTTTGGGATTTCTTTGAATTCGCGCCTTCACAGCTTTTATCACTGCTGGAATCCTAACAGACCGAGGGCGACCACTTATTGACCTGTCATCTACACTAGAGTCTTCATTGTATCGTTTAATGGTACGATAAACGAATCTTTTGGTTATATTCAAATTTTTCAGTATGTCAAAAATTTGAATTGGCTAACGATGCAACGCAATAACTGCAACACAGTCTTCTTTAAGCGTCCACTCCATATTTAAAAATGAGTAAAATTCTAAAAAATATACAGTTTTATTTTCGTGAACAATTCGAAATTCGAATTCAATAAACTTTTTTGTGGCCAGCATTCGAAAAGAAAAGTTTTTACTGTGTGACAATACTTATGACCTGACTAGGTAGAGTAATGGATAATCTTACACCGCCACTACACGTTTGAACATATTTTTAATAAAAGAATAAATAATAGGTTTTTAAACAATATTTTCTTACGATTTAATTTTTTTTTTAGTTTAATTACAACTTAATTTACGTTTAATTTCATATAAAAACCAATAACTTAATCCGACTCGAAGGACCAAGTTATCTGACGTTCACAACTCACAACCTTAATGTTCATACAATATATATATATATATATATATATACTTTTTTATATATATTATATGTGCTTACACTGCTGAGAACTGAGTGATAATATCTCATAACTTCGCTGTATTGCAATACTGGCTCAGTATACCTTTCAGATCGGAACAGCAATACATGCACTGCTGCTTGGTTCCAGGAATAGGTAAGAGGGTGACAGCTACCCAGGCGAACTCCTCCTATCTAGCATAGTGGTAGATATGGGGTAGTGGGTTCTTATACATCACCATTAGATGGCGATATTAATTTTATAAAATAAAAATTATAAATGAACTAGCTGCCCGGGCAGACAATGTTCTGCCTTTTCCGACTACCCTGTGTCGTAAAAAATTTTTAGAGTCATTTATTGGGATAAAAACTATCCTATCTCTCAAGTTGGACCAAAATGCACACAGTGTGCGAAATTTCATTGAAATCAGTTCAGTAGCTTAGGAGTCCATCGCGGACAAACAATGTGACACGTAATTTTTATATATAAAGATAAGGATATTTGTGTCTATTTGTATATTTGTATGACGATACCCACCTGTAGGGATTGGTCCACGCCCTTTGGGAAAGAGATCTCTTCTGTCATTTGGTAATCTGGAATGAATTGGAGAAGTTTGGAATTAGTAAAATAGTTTAAAATGTAATAAGAAAAGAAGAATTTTTGAATGAGACATAAATTATATTGTGTGTGTTGCTACTTTTAATGTTATTTTATGTCCAATAATTAGTGTTTTTTTTTTATATAACCGAATGGTGATAAACAGGCACACAGTTCACCTGATGATAAGTGGATACTATGGCTCGTAAACAACTTCATTTATCTTCTATTAATTCGAGTTGAAAGTGTTGAGTGTTGTTGATAACAAAGTTGTAGATTACTAGCAATAACTAAATATCTCCGGTTCTCTACACTGACCACACTAAACATATCGGTATTATGTTGTTATTTGTGTTATTATTTTGTGTGACTTTGGTTATTTTTCCCGTCAGGTCAAAAAATTCATACTGCGGACATAATGTAGAGGTGATTTTGTCATAGTTGTCGCGCTTGGCCGGTGAGATGGCAATCGCAGTTTTTATTATTTTCAGTAGTTATTAGAAAGATACTATTGCCCATCTCTTGTTGCAGATTCCCTCTGTCCCCTTTTGCGACACCCATGGAATGGTATGAGGTAGTAGATATTTCTACAATGGTAATATACAGTAAGTATTTAACTTTAAATAAAATTATATTAATTAATTAAGTGATAGCTATTATTAAGGAGAAGTAAAGTAAAACTTTAAAATATAAGGTTTCGAAAATACCAAGTGGTTTCTGTTGTGGCCTATCTGATAAATGTGTTTAAAAGGTACAGGTAATTAATATTTATTTTTACTATATGTAAGTAACGAAGTTCTTAAACAGTTTTTGATTGTTTTTTTTTTGTGTGTGTGCGTTTGCGTTTGCGTGTGCGTGTGCGCGTGTGTGTGTGTATGTGTGTGTGTGTGTGTGTGTGTGTGTGTGTGTGTGTGTGCGTGCGTGCGTGCGTGTGTGTTCGTGTGTGTCGTTAGTGTTTGCGTGTATATATATATATATATATAAATGTCAGTGAGTGTATGTGTGGGATGTATGTGTTGTTATTCTTTGCGTATTTTTCTGCGTGCGTGCTTGTATGTTCTACGTGTCAGTGAGTGTATGTGCATGCGAGTGTGGGTTGTATGTGTATCTCTGTGTGAGTGGGTGTATGTGGTTCGTATGTTGTTAGTGTTTGAGTGTCTTTTTCTGTGCGTGCGTATATGTATATGCGGTGTGCGTGTGTCTCCGTGCGTGCGTGTACGTGTGCGTGTGTTGATATAGTATGTGCGTGTGTGCGTGGAGCACCGTGGCGTGCAGCGTGGCGCAGCGCGTCGGCGGCGTCGCGCTCGCGGGCCAGCTGCGCGCGCGCCGCGCCCGCCAGCTGCAGCTGCGGCGGCAGCGCGCCCAGCAGCCGCGCCAGCGCCGCGCTCAGCCCGCCCGCCGGCGCCACCAGCCGCCGCGCCAGCAGCGCCGCGCCCGCGCCACCGCTGCCGCCGCTGCCACATGCACCACCGCACTCCCCCACCACACCTCCCGCGCCACCTGCACATGCCACGTCTCTATTGCACCAAACTGACTTAACTATCCATTTCACTAGCCCTCCTCTCATAGTACGATCCCCAGATAATAAATACAACAACAACATTTATACTACTACCCATTTCACTAAGTTATTTACATACATACCATACCGGGTGTTAGTAAAACGCTCCCGAAAACGAAGAGAGACGATAGACTAACGATACCTTTGACGATGGGTCAGAAAAAAATCGAACCCGAAGAAAAAATCATCTTTTCACAACTTTTTATTAGCTTTATTAACGTTCCATCATGTTAGTACAACTAAATGAAACAAATATTTACAAAAAAAATCATGAAAATACTTAAACATAAAACCAACAATGAAACTTAAAATAAAATCGGCTAACGATAGGATCAATATTCTCGCGGACGCCGAACTCTTATCTAGTTCGGTGCCAAACAATGCCTACTCACTCTACCCTTCCCTTTCACACACGCGCTACCGCCATCCGGCCGGCTCGTGTCGACTCGCGCTGTGGAATTTACACATGTCAACTTTGCCAACATGTGGGAAATTGCCAACATGTGGGAAATTTCCAAAATTGCGGGGAATTTAAAGCTTGTTGGGGTTTTAATGAGGATTGCTATTATGTGAGAAAAATACGGGAATTTTGAAAATCGATAAGTCAAAACCTTTTTTTAAGAAATCTAAACATTTTGTTACGTTGCTTATGAATATCGAATGACTCCCTTTTTTTAATTATCTTCATTGCACCACATTTAGTTTCGGATTTATTTCGGCAACTTCTGTGTATCATTTAATTCTTTTCATTTCTTTGTTTATTAATTTTAAAGAAAAAAAAAATATAGTTAAAAAGTAAATCTTATGAAATTAGTTGCAAATTGTTTCATTTCTTAAAATAAAATTGAGAGGAATTTGTGGAGAATCTGTTGAAATTTTATCCTTAAATTGGGGAATTCGACATTGGTCAATGGTATTGGCAACGCTGCGATATTGCGCCGAAATTTACCTACTAAGATTTGATTGCCAGCGACATAAAAATTAGAGGTGTCAATCACTATAAAACTTGCAAGTATACCTCTTTTTAAATTCAAAGTATTGGTCGGATTATATACGGAAAGTAATTAAAATAAAGTAAAGTATTATTATAAAGTATTGTTATTTACATTAATGCTGATAGATTAATTAACTGTCGATCACAATTGCAATTGATTTTAGCTATTAAATTATTCAGTTCCATTTCATTTCTATTTTCTTATACAAAATCAAAGATAACGATGAAATAGTGTTTGTATTATGTTACTAAGTAGCCAATTGGGTATGTACGTTTATTAATTTCAATATAATTTTTGTAGTAAAGAACTGCTTGTTGCGTCAGGGTACAATTGATTGTGTAATTGTATTAAAAATGACAACCATAACTTCTAAATTCCATATGAAGACTAGTCGTAGGGATAACTAAACTTATAAATAAAATAAACGTTAGCAATGTCGTAACGGTTTAACGGTCTGTGGAAATGATCAAAGTGCTTCAAGGACGTTACGACGCACGAGGCATTTGTTTTGGCGGAATTGATGATTAATTTTAGTTTTTGAGACAGTTCCGTGTTTACAATCACGTGCGCGTGAGTGACAGTTCAATCGTTTTGTTTCTTATATTCTTGTTGTTATTATTCTTGTACGTTACGTTTTGTGTTTCTTGTTTTGTTATAATAATGCCTAACGCGTACCTTTATAGTGTTCGTGACTACGGCAACATGTTAATGTGCCTTGTAGAATCTCAAAAGGCCAAGGAGGATTTAGATCGGTAAGCTGTTTAATACCTATTTTTTTTAATAACTTAGTACTGAACTCCTCTGAATAGGTACATAACTGTACATCAGAATAATAGACATACCTACACGATGGATAAAAAAGCATGATTCTAACCTTCTTCACATTTCATTTAAGTAATTTTTTTCATTAGCGGGGAATCGAACCAGGTATTTGATTTATTTAACCTGTGAATTCGATTAAACAATTTTTTGTTTACGGATTTTATCGCGTTTAATTTAACTTTTTAATTCCCGACGTTTCGGGTGCTTTACAGCACTCATGGTCACGGGGGGGGGGGGGGGGGGGTTTGACGTCCCGATGTCATAGTTGGCCCAGCTACCTTCAGTTATTGAATATTAATTTTTGGTCCGATCTACGCAGAATGAGCTTACAGTATCTTGAAGTCTTGCAGTGGTATGCTTGGGTTTGGATTTAATTTTATTAATTATAGGATCCCAAGCGTATGGCAGCACCCATCCATCTTCTCTATTGAAATTAGGATGTTTTTTAATTTCGATAACCTCACGAATCATCCTTGGTAGGAATCCGTGTTCTTTAGCGAGGATTTGTGGTCTATCAAATTTAATATAATGGCGGGTATGTGTGTATGTATGTAACGTACGCGTATACATTTTGTTTATACCACAAAAAATGTATACGGGTACTTGCAAATATCAAACAAAGAGAAAGCTGTAAACCTCACTTACAAACTCTCAATATTCTAACATTACCGTGCATTAGAAATATGTAAGTTTGTAAAAAGATGCCCGAGTTTTTACACCAAAATCATAGACGCTATAAGAATAACCCTTTGCAAACAAAATCTAAATTAAAATTACACAGCTCAGGTCCTTACCCGATGTCAATAAAAAATTATAATAGCCCGTTTAGACTCTCGCCTCGCGTCTCGCCTCGTACCTCGCCTCGCAGTTCGCGTGTTGTTGCGAGGTAACGAGTGCCTGTTTACACTCTCGCGATGCGTTCAGTTGGCGTTGAGCCAGCAACGGTGGAAGACGTCGAAATAATAGCGGCATCAACTCTTGCCTTAATAAGTATTTATCGATGCTTGACCATTTTAAAAAGAAGGAAATTAATAAAAATACGTCGTTGAGGAAGAATATGACGGATGATATCTATTCATCGAAACAGAACCTTTTCAGTTTCATAATTTTATATAAATTGCTAGTACCTATTGTGCAAGATTAAATAATATTATTTTATTAAAAATATAATTTTAAAACAAAAGCAATGCGAATGTTATTATGGAAGGGCGCCGTAAACAAACTGAAACGAGACGCGAGTGTAAACAGCACGCTCGCGTGCCTCGCGAGGCCCTTTGCCTCGTGCCCAAAGAACCGGCTGGGACGCTCGCGCCGCGAGTGGCGAGGCGAGCTGCGAGGCGAGCCACGAGCTAGCGTTTACACTCGCGCCTGTGCCGAGCCTCGCGACTCGCCTCGTCGCTCTCGCGAGAGTGTAAATGGGGGGTAATAAATTGCCAGAATATCTAGAAGCCGAAACAATTTTGTACGTGGTAGAGCCATGCTACAGCTATATTAGTAGTATAGTTGTAGCATGAATGGGTCGACTCAACCGGGGAAGGACCACGATCTCACAGAATACTAGCGTAAAATAGCAGCTTTACGCTGCTGTGTTTCGTATGGTGATTGTAGAGAACCGGAGACCCTTTTTACTGGAAACGAGGCATTCCATCTTAGTCCTCACGGGTGACAACGCATCTGTATTTTGATTCGTAATCGAGGATAAATGTAGATGTCTACGAGCCACAGCAACCACTTACCATCAGGTGGACTGTGTGTTCGTTTGCCACCCTATTCTATAAAAAAAACCATGGACTTCCTTCTCTTACCAGCTCATCACACCAACTAATAAAAAACCATCCTACACTTCACCGACCGATACAAAGCTACCACTCGAAAATCTTTTTTCCTCGATTATCCGAGTTATATAACCGACCCATTGCCACTTCAGTTCACTAATCCGTTAAACTATATTACATACACTAATTCTACGGCAATTACCTAGTTTTTATGTCTACCACACAATAAAACCCGTGCATAGCCCTCTCTATAACTCACCGAACAAACTAGAAGTTTCTCATACGGCCCCAGCAGTGATGGACCACATTTCAAATTCGTAAAGCATCACTAGCAACACGTACTGATTGTACAATGTATATATTTGTCTCTTTTTTAATGACGCATTTTCGATTAATCGAATTTCAAATCACAACAATTGTAAAGAAATTTTCGGTTCAAAAAATTTACAAAAACAGAAATCCGCTCTTAATCTTAGAAATGAGAAGAGGCTTATTTATACCCAGCATTGAGACATAAAATACTATAACTTTAAAAATAATACTCACCAAAAATCGGTTCAATACAATCCCGCATGTTGGTGCCCTGAACTGGACTAACGTCCGCCAACAAATCATACGTTGCGTCGTCCAACGATCCGTCCAACAAGTCATCCGACGAGCGAAGACAATTCTCTAAATCCGATATATCGTCCGATCGATCGACTGAAGTGTTGACATTATCTGTAATAAAAAGAAAATCATATTTTTAAAAATGGAAATGCATTAAGTACGCACGAATATCAAATAAATTGTTTCTTATATATCACCGAATACATTATTCCTTCCCTCCCCTGGGAAGGAACCTTTTGCCTCAGTTTCCCTCTGTCGCCTCTTACGACACCCACGGATGGTATAGGGTATTGGAAATTGATACACCGACCTTACACGGCCATCCATGGACCACGGTTCTATTATACTTATAAATAATCGTATACTATTTGTTCGGGCATTACCATTTACTTAGGATTGTCCGTGAGCACTACACTAGCGACATCTCTTTTTTTATAGGATAAAGATGATAAACGAGCACACAGTCCACCTGATGGTAAGTGGTTGCTGTGGCCCATAGACATCTACATTTATCCTCGATTACGAATCAAAATACAGATCCGTCGTCACCCGTGAGGACTAAGATGGAACGCCTCATTTCCAGTAAAAAGGGACTCCGGTTCTCTGCACTCACCATACGAAACACAGCAGCAATAAACTGCTATTTTACTCTGGTATTCTGTGAGAGCGTGGTCCTTCCTCGGTCGAGCGGACCCATTCGTGTTACAACTATACCAGAAATATAGCTGCAGCATGGCTCTACCACGTATAAATATTCGGATCGGATCGGATTAGTTCGGATCTCGACTGTCGTTCGGTTCGGCGGCGCGCTCGGAAGGTGTGCGGTGTACGCACTTATAATAAAAAATACATACTCTTAAATGGTTGTTCGGGTGATTTTTGTGCTAATATACATACAGTTATACTGTGTACATTCGAACATATCTGCAATTTATAACTACCATTGTGAAGAAGATCGGGAGGATAGCAGCAGATAACCTTCGGCCAAAGTCGTCTCAAGGATCACACCGCTTTGCCATAGAAAGCAGGTTAGTCCGTTTGACTTTTCGGGGTGATTATGATACCTGTGAACCGCCACGTGAGCAAAACCGGGAGCAACCTTGTTCACCGCTGATTTAGCTGTCGAAGGCTCACAATAGCGTAAACACTATTATTATAAAATTTCATTTTTAAGGAATAACCCTGATGGCCTTCCAGATCTTCAATGTGTAATATGTAAAAATCTACATAAATTAAAACATATTTTATTTTATGCTTTTCTAACTAGGTATTTCTTCAAAATGAGGGATTCAGTAAGCAAAACAGTGGGACGTGTGTAGGGTGACTAGATGGAAAATTAAAAAATCCTGACAAATAACCTAATTTCTACAGAAAAGCCCTGACATTTTTTTGCAAAAGTAATTAACAAGCGTGAAAAAAAGAAACTAATTGATTATTGGTTTTGTGCAATCTCGCGATCGATCTACGTCGCAGATTACACCCCTCCCGTGCAGAAAATAAACTACTGTATTTTGTTGAAAAATCGAAACTCCTGACATTTTCATAATTCGACCTCAATTCTGACAAGAAGCCAAAAGTCCGAACAAATCCTGACATATGGTATCTCTAAGCGTTCAGGCAAATGCTTACCGTGCGTCCGTCGCGGCACATATCTGCAGTTGTCACAGCGACCACTTCTAGCCGCGATCGCGCTGGTTTCGTCTATGGTTAGGGCCTTAGACAGCATCTCCGTTAGCTGACTCGCTGTCGATCAAGAACAAACACAATATATATTTACAGTTACATATTATATTAAGGGGCTACTCCATGCGAACGACCTTGAGCATTTTGCCGGCGGCACGTCGCTCGCCTCAATATATTGCTTATTTGAAATATGTACGACGCCACCACCTATTGTAGGTACGAACGTAGTATTATTTTTTCAACATCAATGAACTAATTTATGGAAATACACACAGCGTACAACGATAAATGTATTTTAATTTTTTTATTCGGTATATTAGTTGCATTATATTAGAATTATGTATTTTCATATATTATCTAATTATGAAATTTTATAATTAATTATATATTAAAAATGAAGCATTGAAAATTGTGAGTTTAAAAGATACCTATTCACTATAGGTAAATAAATATATAGCTCGCCTTTTGTACAAATATTTGGTGCAAGAAAGAATAAATAAATAAATAGGATGTTTCGTAGATGTGTTTTTGATTATTGTTAATTTTTACGTGTCACGTATTGAAAAGTAATATACCTAACTACGAGTACTAATACAAAAATCAACAAGAAGTATAAGGGTTCAATCTTTCAATTTCAATTGTAAAAAAACGTTACCCCCACACTAGGATTTTCTCCTGTGTCGTGGAGGCAGTTTACAAACATAAATTGCACAAGGACAAACATCCAGACCCGGAACAAATATTTGTAAGCCATACAAATACTTGTTCCGTGCGGGATTCGAACCCGCGGCCCCCAGCGCAACAACTAATTGCTAAGCCACTGCCCCACGTAGCCGTCGCCGGGTTATAGCTAAAGTGACCACACGTCCCGTTTTGAACGGGACTGTCCCTTTTCTCGGTCACCTGTCCCATTGTCCCCAAACAAAGCTCCGGGACACAAAATTGTCCCGTAACTCGTTGGATGGAAGTATTCAAAGTCAACAATCTTCAACATAATTTTTTTTAATCGAATATATTTTATGTCTACCTGCTACGAATGCTCCGGTAGAAAGAGTATTTTTTTTATTTTGAATAAATTGTGGACGTCTGAAAGAAACACTTACGGTTCCAGAGTTCTAAAGGCGATGTTGTTAACAAAGATAACAATAAAAAAACTTGAGCAGAATTTTATTTTTATTTAAAATCATCACCAACTTTATTAAAGAAAATTTAATCCACTGACAAATGTAATTAATAATTAAGAAAAATATGTTGCATTTAATAATTACCGTCTATACCGAATATAATTTTACAGTGAACACTAATTGTATAAAGTTATAGTTTTTAGAGTATAAATAAACCCATGTCCTGTTTTGAGTTAAAAAATAAATGGTCAGTTTAGTCTTTTTAGTTAAATTTAGTTTTAAAAATTTTTAGTAGTAAAAAGTAGGTATATTAGTACCTACTTAGATACTTTTTACCGAATTATAAGTATAGAACACCTTATGTACTCAATTATTTTTTGAAAAAGAACAAAAAACAAGCAATAAATAATATACTATATTTTAGCAAAAAACTATAACTTAGTAATAAGTATTAATTATAACTTAGAACATAAATGAAAAACTCATAACTGACAGGGCCCGACCCAGGATTCGAACCCGGGACCTAATGATCAGCAGTCGCACTACTACAACCACTAGACCAACGAGGCAGTACTGTACGTAATAAGATATTGTGGTTGGGTGATAATATTGAATTAGCCTTTTATAGTGTAAATTATAATATTTATCGAAATTTTAATTATGGATTCGAACCTTACATGCCAATGGTGCTTCATTTTTTTATTTGCATTTACTTCAAAGAAAATACACGCAAAAAGCTTCATCGCGCAGTAAAAAACACAACAAATATATGTATAACTAATACGAAAAATTATACCCAAAACAAACAAATAATACTACCTATAAATAACCTAATAAGTAATATTATCTATCGACTGATATTACGTGAGTGTATGCGGCGCTGGTCGACGCTCTAACGACACGGGCTTCGCGTCGAAGAGCTCAGGGCTCACTGACTCTAGCAAGCCCGTGAGCAGTGAATATGCCCAGATTTTAAAATAATTTCTTAATAAAATCAAATTTTGGTCTTTTGAAAAAAAATTTACTATAGAAATGTTTATTAATAAATTGCCTATCCATTGGTGTAAATCGCAAAATAAAATAATACTTACTTTACGAGGAGATCCATGTTATCAATAATAATTTCACATTTATGTGGTTTCGTTGTAAGGAGATTATATTAATATTTATTCGTTTTAAAAAAAATTGGATATAGCTTTTATGGAATCAAGATTATGTAGAAATATAATGTGTTTTTTATTTGTTGATATATCTTTTAAATAAAAAGTAGATAGCTTCTAAAAACCCACAAATAACGATTAGCGCGACATTTTGCTCAACCTGCGCCTTAAATCTTATATTTATTTATTTTATAATCGTCTCTTACTGAAATAATAAATGCAATTAAATATTGAATGGTTTCCATTTAACATATTGCACATATTGTAAATTCGACTACGATTTCTAGAGGGTGAAATCAAATACGAGGGTACGTTTTTCAGTTTGCCAGTTTGCGGAATGGGTAGGTAGGTAATAAGTGGGGACGTCTTTGAATTACGTGCTAATTGAGAAACTCGTTATTAGTATAAATACCGGGTTCTATTTTAATTAGATCATTAGTCTTTGAGTTATCGTCAACCAATCAAGTCAATCGGGAAGAAATTGTGAAATATGGAGAAAATCGAGTTCCGTGACATTATAAAGTTCCTTAGTAAGCGCGGAAAATCAGTTCAGACTATTCTGGAAAAGATGTCATCCATTTACAGAAACTCTTGTCTAAGTAAAACTATGGTTTACAAGTGGCATACCCTTTTTAAACAAGGCAGAGAGTCACTTGAAGACGACACACGGCCAGGAAGGCCGATCGAGGTGACCGCTTCGGAAATAATTAAAAAAGTCGAAAAATTAATATTAGAAGAAAAAATTAATATTAAAAGCCTAAAGAAAAATACAACCATTTTCAAAATTCTTCATGACCATGTTAGCACGACTAAAGTCAGCGCAAGATGGGTGCCTAGAATGCTCACGCCGCCTCAAAAGCAACAGTGTTCTCGTGCATTTTTGGACCTCTATATGGAAGACAAATATGGAGTGTTGGCTCGAATTATTACTGGTGACGAAACTTGAGTTTACCATTATGAACCTGAGTCCAAACAGGACTCTATACAGTGGCACAAAAAAGGCACACCACCACCCAAGAAATTTAAGGTGGCACAATCGGCTGGCAAAATCATGGCGACAGTCTTTTGGGACTCAGAAGGAATCCTATTGATTAATTATAAAGATAAAGGTGTCTCCATAACCGGAAATTACTACGCTTCAATCGTAGAACAATTTGAAGGAAGCCATAAAGGAGAAAAGATGGAGAAAATTGACCAAAGGAATTCTTCTTTTGAACGACAACGCACCTGTTCACAAGTGCCATGTTGCGATGGCTGTCCTGCAGAAGGTGGGCTTCGAAATTTTGCCACACTTACCCTGTCCTGACCTGGCCCCCAGTCATTATTATCTATTTCCAAACTTAAAAAAGAACTTTGTGGGAAAAAGTTTTTAAGAAATGAAGAAGTGAAGGAAGCAGTTTCGGCGTGTTTTTTAGACAAAATAAATCATTTTTTGAGGGCATACATAAGTTAATTGAAAGATCCGAAAAATGTATTAGGGTAGCAGTGAATATATTGAAAAGGAAAAATAAATTTGGACTTTTGTTTCCACTCCTTACCCCCCATTCCGCGAACTTAAAAACGCACCCTCGTATGTGTTCGTTACGAGATCTGTGCGTATCTTTACACATAAAATTCTGTCCGCGTGTATGTGACTGGACTCCTCCTAAACGGCTAGGACCGATTTTGAAGAAATTTTCTGATTTTTTTAAATTCGAGAATGGTTTAGATTCACGATTGGACCCGGTAGGTGGCGCTATTGTCGAGATTCATAAATCACCCGTGCAAAGCTGGAGCGGATCGCTAGTTTATTATAAATATTGTAATAGCTAATAATGGTTACCTTGTGCATGTGCTGCCAACAGAAGCTGATGTATGTCGGCTGTGGAATCGGACTCTGTTGGTTCTATTTCCGATCCCGACATGTCTGCAAGACAACATGAATAACAATAGTTGATAATAAAGTACACAATAATAATAGAAAACGTACATATTTATTATTTTATTATTTATAATAAAGTTACAGCCTATATACGTCCCACAGCTGGGAACAGGCCTCCTCTCGTTTCTGAGAGGGTTTTAGGGCAAAGAAGTGTCCGCAGCGCTGCGCTGCCCCAATGCGTGTTGGCGAATTTCACATGTCTTCTAAAAATTTTGGTTTTCTTATTTCTCAGACATGAAGGTTTCCTCACGATGTTTTCCTTCACCGCCGAGTACGCGGTAAATCAGCACTTAAAATAGCAATTAACAATATAATTGATGTCGTGTCGGCGAGGATCGAACCCGGTTTGCTCGCGTACTGTGAAATTTATGTCGGGCGCTAACCATCTGAGATACCACGGCCTCTTAGAAAATTATAAAATAATAATGATTAACATGACAATTGTAATTTTAATTTAAGTCATTTAATTTGATTTTTATTGTGTACATTGCGTACCTATGTAATAATGATATATTTTATTTCACCTCGTTCCTAAGTGGCACCGCCCTAGTGTCCAAAAAATTCGGGCATCCACGGCTTTCGACATCGTTGCCACTCTAGTAAGTAAACTTACAAGTTATGATTTCTTATATTTACGCGAACACTACACATTGAATAAAACTATTTTTTTACGGATTTTATCGCGTTTAATTTACTGTTTTAATTCTCGACGTTTCGGGTGCTTTACAGCAACCCATGGTGTGTGTGTCCGTCCCCCCCCCCCCGTGATCATGGGTTGCTGTAAAGCACCCGAAACGTCGGGAATTAAAAAGAAGTTTTTGTATGCGCCCGTCACGTATAAAATACTAACCGACTTGTCCGAGCGTGTCCGCGACCGCCATCTCTGCCACTTGCGAATAGCTCTCCGGAGGAACACCCAGCAGTTCAGCTACGACACCACTCTTGGCACGCAAAGCGCGACTTATCACCTCGTCTAAACGACGTAATCGTTCTGAAATTTAAAATTGAATATTTAAAGAAAAATCTAAAGCAAAACGAAAGGATTTCGACAAGAATGGGTTGAGAGATTGTTGAGAGAAAAATAATCTACTTATGAGTAAGTATTTTGCCGTTTATTCTCACAAGGTCTCCACGCAGTAGATTTGTTGAAGCGAAGGCGTATCATTTGAATTTGAAAATATTTATTAAATATTTTATATAAATATGTATAAATATTTGACTTTGACTTTAGACTTTATTTATAAAAACAAGCTGCAAAAATTTAATAAATACATAACAATAAAATTAAAAACTCACTATTACATGAGGTTCCTCTCCTAACAGAAAAAACCGCAATAAAACACCATGGATACAAAATATTATAAAACTAACTATAAGTGCTAAATTTTCTTTATTAAAAACTAGCTGTACCCTACGAATTCGCCTGCGTGGAATCTATTACCATTGGATTTTATGGGTTTAATTTTTTTTTAGCGCGGAACCCTAATTATTTTTCTAAAATAAAAGTAGCCTGAGTTACTCCTTATAAAATTATCTATCTGCGAGTGAAAGTTCCGTCAAAATCGATCCAGCCGTTTCAGAGATAAGCCGGAATAAACAGACAGATAGACAGACAAAAATTTTAAAAACTGTTTTTGTTATAAGTATCGTATATGCATTTAGTAAAAAGTTGTTATTTTGACATTACAAACAGACACATCAATTTTATTTATTTGTATAGATAGCACAGAAAATGAAAAGTATGTGAATGTAAGGTATGAGCGAGTATTGTGAGTAGTTGTGAGTAATGGCGAGTGTTGGTGAGTAGTGGTGAGTAATGACGAATAGTTGCGAGTGGTGACTAGTAGTGGCGAATAATGTCGAGTGATATCGAGTAATGGCAAATAGTGACGAGTAGTGGCGAGTATCGACAGGTAGTTTATATTCAAAATTAAAGTAACTAATGTGTACTAGCTATGATATTGTACTTATATTTATTATCGCATTTGTCTTAATTATAATTGTTTATGTTGTAATGATTGTGTAAAGCCTTAATCAATTTTTTTACATATGTCTATTCAACAGATTTTTGTTAGAGTTTTAGTGGAAATAATTTTAGTTTTATGTATTCAATTTTTAGTTACATAAATGTAATTAAGCTGTATGTTTTCGTTAAATAAAGAAAAAAAGTAGTGGCAAGAGGTGGCGAGTATTGGCATAAGTGGTATCGTTAGTTTTTAGTTTTCAAATTAATAGGTTGTATATATATGTTATACAGATTATGAAATAGCTTGGAATCGACTAGGTACCTCATTGCTAGGAGTTATTATCAACAATGTATTCATTTATATTATAATAACATTTTTGTATGTATAGGTATTGTCTAATAAAATATATCAATTTGGTAATAGAGTTGTAGCAAGTATTGGTAATTTGTGGCGAGTTTTGGCTAGCTGTGGCCAAGTAGTGGTGTGTATTCAAAAACGAGTTCAGAATATTTATTGTGTTATATTATTAAAGGACCGTGGCGATTGGTGGCGTTTCGTGGCGATTGGTGAGGATTGATGCGATTAGTGGCGATTAATGGTGATTAGCGGCGATTGATGGCAACTAGTGGTGATGTGTGGTGATTTGAGGCTGTTAGTGGCGATTGATGGCGATTAGTAACGATTGATGCGATAACTGGCGATTGATGGTGATTAGTGGCGATTGACGCGGTTAGTGGCGATTGAAGGTGATTAGTGGCAATTGATGGCGATTAGAAGCGATCGACGCGATTAGTGGCGATTAATGATGATAGTGGCGTTGGATGGCGATTAGTGGCGATTTGAGATTGTTAGTGGCGACTGATGGCGTTTGACTGTTAGTGGCGATTGGTGGCGATTGTTGGCACGTACCGTGGTGCGTGACGGCGCGCGTGGCGGTGAGCACGTGCGCGGCCGGCGCGCGCACCGCGAGCGCGCCGCGCGGCGCCAGCCCCGCCCCCGCCCCCGCCCCCGCCCCCGCCCCCGCCTCCTCGCAGTGCGTGCTGATGCGCCCCACCGTCGCGCGCCGCTGCCTGCAGTTCATCGCTTATTAGCTACATATCTTACGTACTAACTATGCCTAAGCTATATTATTGTTATAGCACAAATGGCACGGCTCCACCGGGATACGAGTGATAGGACCTCACTCTCACAAAATACCAATGTAAAATAGCAGCTCAATGCCGCTGTGTTTCATATGGTGAGTGTAAACAACCGGATGTGCGATAACGCATCTACATTTTGATTCTTAATCAAGGCTACATGTAAATATCTATGGGCCACAGCGCCCACTTACAATCAGGTCGATTGTGTGCTCATTAGTCACCCTTACTCTAAAAAAAAAAATAGTAAATCCAATTGGGCATGCCTTAAGCGCATTAAAAAAATTACGTATAACATGGTTATAGGGAATTTTTTAAAGTAAGTAGTTTAAATACATTTCAACAACACTATCGGCTTCAACACACTCGAAAACCACGAAAATGACACCCATGATGAAAAAATTGGTACCTCATTAAACCACCATCTTGAATTTACATTTCGACAGCACTATCGGCTTCAACACCCTCGAAAACCATGACAATGATACCCGTAATGAAAAAATTGATACCTATTGCGGCCGCCATCTTGGATTTACATTTCGACAACCCTATCGGTTTCAATACCCTCAAAAACCGTGAAAATATCACCCATGACAAAAAAATTGATACTATTTACTTTTAATACGTACTACTATTATTTATTCTGTCCTTTTAAAATATTGTAATAAAAAATCTCTCATTATTATTATAATCAAGTATTTAAGAAATTGAGTTATTCGAATATTGTGTATTTGTACAACGATCTTTTCAACCACTACAAACAACCGAAACAATGTCCACTCACGACGGCGACTGATGCCGAACTGAGTGAGTAAAGTACTCTATAGCTGTAGCTCATAGTGCGGCTTCCGCCCATTTACAGAAATAATTTACATACAAGGCTACCAAATCAAAGAAAATTTCGCCATTTTGAAGCCGAAAAAAATTAATTATAGCTAAACAAAACAAAATTACACTACCATTTACATTCAGTCGCTTCCCACATGGTAGATGAAGAGATTAAAAAATAGATTGAATTAAACAATTGATATTTTCAAGTTATCGTGTTTACAAACCTTGCGACCTTGATAAATCCACACTATAAGCCACTAAAACCCCTTCATTTTTTTAAAAATAGCAATTAATCGATTTAAAAAAAATATTAATAAGTTCAACAATCATTTATCTTTCTAACAATGTGCTTTTTATATCATTTATATTATGTCTAATATGATTGCTAGATTCGATTTCATTCGATAAAACGTTGGAATCTTAATTTTTAGGCGATAGTAGAACATATTTTGCGCTTTCGCTTAAGGCATGCAAAAGTCGTGTATCAATCGGCGAACTTATTCAGTCGTTTAATCCGGATTACATAAAATAATCGATAATTGCAATCGTTTGTTTTAATCCATCCGATTCCACCAATTACAAACATTTGACAGAACTTTTGTAATGTTTTTATTTTTTAATTATAAATAAATTATTAATATTCTTTTAATTACTTTTAAAAACTGTAATAATAAACGAAATTACAATCCACCTGATGCTATAGTGACTTTTTTATAAAAGAAAGAGCAAACGAGCATACGGCTCACCTGATGATAAGTGACTACCGCCGCCCATTATCAACTGCAACACCAGGGGAACCAGGGGATCGCAGAATTGAAACTGAGGAGATAAGACAAAGGAGTTCTTTTTAGCGGTAAACGCGCAAACTTGTGTCTTTTGAGGATTAAACTGGACTAGATTTAGTCGCCCCCAATCCGAGACTTTGTTCAGCAAAGACTCGACTTCAGACACAAGTTTGTTCAGGTACTCAGCGACGTTTTCCCGCGAAATATTGGCACGGCCGGTGTATAGAGCATCACCAGTGCTGTCATCCGCATAGCAATGAATATTACCGGTTTGCAACTTATCATTGATATGCAGAAAAAACAGCGTTGGTGATAGCACGCAGCCTTGTGGAACACCAGCGATAATAGGCTTGTAGTCGGAGCATGCACCGTCTACAACGACCTTGATGCTCCGATCTGCAAGAAAGCTCGGGATCGAGCTTCGAAAGAAGCACTTTGTGCCAAACCCGATCGAAGGCCTTCGCAATGTCCAAACTAACGGCCAATGCCTCACCCTTGGACTCTACCGCCTCCGTCCATCTATGAGTCAGATAAAACTAGAAGATCACTAGCTTATCGACCCCGACGAAAACCGTATTGGCGGTCACTAATCAGCTGGTGATTCTCAAGGTACCGCATGAGCTGGCAAATTATAATGAATTCCATTATTATGGAGAACAAGGAGGTGATAACGATAGGTCTGTAGTTGGACGGGTCTGAGCGATCGCCTTTTTTAGGGATCTGGTGGACAAAAGCTGTCTTCCATGATTTCGGGGACTACGCCTAGGGAGTAGGAGTACCAGAAAAGAAGCGTTAGAACCGGTGCCAACTCTGGAGCACACGTCCTCAGCACAATTGGGGGGATTCCATCAGGCCCACTCGACTTGTGGATGTCCAGGTAGAGGAGTGCTTTGCGAACCGAGCGCTGTGAGAACCGCACATCCGGCATGGAGCACTCACACCGCGGGATGGTCGGCGGTGTGTTCCCCCCGTCGTCAAGAGTCGAGTTGGAAGCAAAAAGGGAGCCTAAAAGGTCGGCTTTCTCTTTTGCGGCGTGGGCCAGTGAAACGTCCTCCCTGTGCAGAGATGGTAGTGATAGCTTACAGAAATTCCCTTGGACAGCCTTGGCGAGAGGCCAGAATACACGGGTTCCCGAAGGAAGGCGAACTAGTTTCTAGCCAATTCTGCCAATGTGCTCTGACTTTGCCTTGGCTATAACTCTTTGAAGGACCTGGAGGCGACGTTGTACTAATTTTTAAACACGCTGGTGTTTACATCCCGTGCCGCCGAAGCCCCAGCCCAGGCCTGATAACACTCCTGCTTACTGCGTAATGCAGTCTTATAGGAGCGACCAAACCAAGGCTGAGATCTGCCTGCGATGGGTGCCACAGATGATGGAATAAATAGTTCCATTCCCTGTAGCACCACATCAGCGACAGAGTCAGCACCAGCGCTGGGATCATCCGGCGAGAAGCAAACCCGCCCCCATGGGTAGGATGCAAAGAAAGACCGCATTCCGTCCCAATACATCGTACTGACTGACTGTAACCGTCAACCTGCTGAACGCAACCGCGAGGAGAGCGTGAGTGGCACCACACCCCGGATCAGACAATGGTCCGAAGAGCCGAGAGGGTCATCGACGGAAACCTGATATCCATCCGGATGAGAGGTCAGCAGAAGGTCCAACAGGGAAGGTGTATGATCCTCCACATCTGGAATCCGCGTAGGCGAAGTAACCAGTTGTGTCAGATCATATGCCAAGGCAAAGTCATAAACAGATCTCCCCGCATGATCGGTTAAACGTGAACCGAACCATTCGGCGTGGTGTGCGTTGAAATCGCCAAGGATTACGATCTCTGCGGATGGGACCTATTGTAGCAAGGAATCTGTAGCCGTTTGGACGTGGTCGATGAGTCGGTTTGTTTCAGCATTACCGCTATGGAACTTATAGAGGCACCCGTAGACGCGCGGATGGTCGTCGCTCTCTACGCGTAGCCAAAGGATAGACAGCTTCGAACCTTTAAGAGTACCGAGGCGTTGAGAACAGAGTTGTCCTCTCTGACGTAACCTGGCTCGAGCGTGAGGTCGTAACCTGGCTCGAGCGGGCCCATACGTGTAACAGCAAAAGCTGCAGCGTGGCCCTACCACCGTTATGACTACTACAATATATGAACACTTGCAGGCAACTTCAAAAAAGAAAGCTAAAAGTACTTTGTCACCTCTGGACTGTGGCGTAGCTAGGCGTGGACGAAGTGGACCCTCGCCCACGGCCTCGCACTTAAATGAGGAGTCGCAAGGCCCCTTAAAATGCGATCTCCCAGACTTTAGGACAAATTACTAATTAATTTGACCACTTTTACGCTCGAAAAATCTCTCGCAAATTTAAAAGCGTGTTTGTTTCAGTTTGAGGCCTCCAAGAAGCCCCGTGAGACTGCGAGACCCTTGTAACTACCTTCAAAGACCGCGATCGTTAGATTGACGGAATACGAGACTTGTCAGAAATAAGTAAATAGCTATGAGTCGCTATGTCCTGTCAAAGTATGTTTGGTAGGATAGATCTATTTAGTAGATCTTGGAAACTAAAGAAAACGGACCTCGCTGATGAAACTTCGCCCAAGTCTATATTAGTCCACGCTGCGCCTCTTCCTCTAAAGACTAAAATCGAAAACCTCACAGCCTATAATTTTGCAGACTCTCTATAACTTTCGAATCAGAAGACAACAGTACAAAGAGGATAGTACCCTCACACTCACACCACATATACTCCTAGCAAGAAAAAGAGCTAGCACCTAGTACCTAATCTATACAATATGTACAATAAAACTTTCATTTCAATACACTCGAATGAAGTGCACTCTCGTCGACCAATATCGAACCAAAAGGGCAGAAGTCTCACAGAGTATTGCAACCCGAAGTGGACCATATAAACAATTAAACGAAATTAATGTAACAAATCAATATTTATTAATCGGGTCACAAGAAATGAACGCTTGACACACGACAATCAACACAGCACAAGTTGAATTTTTATACCCACATTAAAAATGTATCACTAAAAAACCCTTAAGATTTGTCAAACGTATCTGTGCATCATTCAAATTACCTGGCTATTTCTTAAAATGTTTTCAATTGTCACTAATATCAAAAAGATTTATTCATGGATAAAACATGCCTTTTTAAAAACGTGCGAATACCTAGAAAAATTTCATACAAACTTACATTAATGATTGTTGAAACTTACCTATGAGAATCGTCCGAATCTCTATCTTTAATCACTTCATCTCTCTTCTCTGCTTCCCTCTCCTCTTTCTCCTGTTCGTTCCTCTCCGTAGAGCTTCTGTCCCTTTCGGCGACATGTTCGCCGGCATGGTCTACGGCGTGTTCGTGTTCACGTTCCTCGTCAGCGGTCGTCGAGGAAGATTTCTCGGACGCGTCGGACGGATTGCGGGACACGTTTATACCTGGACATTCGTTTGACAATAGATTACATTGGTAAATAAATACATCTGACCCATTGATTGCCTCGTAAGGAGCATTTTGCAATAGTTGCCATGCTTGGCAGGCAGCTTGGCAACCGCGGTTTTTTATAATTTTGAGTCGTTATCAAGAAGATGCTACAGTTCATCACCTGTTTCAGTTTCCCTCTATCGCCTCTTACGACACCCACGGGATAATATGAGGTATTCACTACTGTTCTAAGCCGCAACTACATGGTAAACATCTATGACAGACGTAATACAATAGACGAACTTGTATGAACGTAAGAAGAAATTCGGTTTAAGATTTCTTTTATAACGAAATAATTAGAAGTTTGAAACAGGCAACCAATGGAAAATGGGCACAGTGGCAGACGTGGCACGCAAATTCAAATTCATTTGTTCGTTTGCGATATATGGGATACAATAGTTTTTTTTTTAATTTATGAAAATTTATTTATCTCATCATTCTCACCACAAAACCATAAATAAACTCTAGTGTTAAGGCACACTAGATTTAATTAATAGCTATTATAACAAAAGTAGTAGTTGTGGGTCGCTGGTGCTTGAAGTAGGTAATTAAAACCTGAGTTACAGGTCACCAGACCTTCATCTTAGACTGGTAATCACTATAGCTTTCAAGGTAAAAATCTTAATAATTTCAGAAAAAATATAGCCCTATTCTACCTTTAGGTTTGCAAAGTTATTAGCACTCACCGGAGTCGTCGTTGGAGCGCGAGTGCTGGTGGTGGGAGGTTGCTGTTGTTGATGCGATTGGCTTCAGCTCCGTCAGCTTAGCCAACGGCGCCTCCTTGATGTGCTTCACCCACCTGCACAAACCACCAATATTATTAAAAATTATTATAAATAATCGTATATGTGTTACACACAGTCCCCTGTGCAGAGCCTGTGTATGAGGGAGAAGAAAACGGCGACCCACGTGTTGCTGGCTTGTCCCGACGTCACTGCATACAGGGCTAAACATCCCCGAAGACTGCGGAGTTCCTTCGCGGTGATTTCATGGCTCGAATAACACGCAACACACGCAAAATACACGCTTAGGCTTGGAGTTGCGGAAAACAGTCCATCGTAAAATAAACTAAAGTAATCGTTTCTAGTTAATAATAATAATAATAAGTCGTTTTTTCTACAAAAGAACTGATCTCTGTTAGCTTCTCGGGTCATCAAAGGCCTACCCTCCGGGCTGAAATGCAAAAGGCAAGTGCTCCTAAATAGACGACTTTCGTCATCAAGTCCCTGGCTTAAACTGCCGTCAAAATCCCCCAAAACCATCATGTGACATATCAACATATTGCGAACAAATTTGTAAACGTATTTTATATTTTTTAAAACGTATTATACAAAGTTGGATTTATTCTTTTTGGCTGAAACCTTGCAACCAATGCCAAAATTAATGAGGAAAAAAACCTATGAAGTGTACTGACGTGGCGTATTCGCTGGACGTGTTGGCGGAGAGCTCGTGCATCTGCACGCCGTTGATGTTCATCAGGAAGAACGTGTTGCGCACCGCCGCGTTCGGACGAAATATCACCTTGTCCCTGTAACAATAACACACATTTTTGTACGACTCTGTATTACATAGTAAACACAAACAGATAATAAATTAAGTTTATTTATTAAGATCTACCTAGAGTCATAAAATTGTGTCTTAAAAGTAAATTCCTGGACATAGACTTCTGCCAATGCAGGAAGTATATGCCAAATGTTTTTATAGAATAAGGGTGACAAATTAGCACACAGTCTACCTGATGGTAAATAGATAGTATAGTCTAATAGACATGTATATTTATCGTCAGTTGAGAATCAAATTGCAGATACGTTGTCACCCCTGAGAAGTAAGATGGCATGCCTCATCCTACCTATGTCGACACATTCGTGCTACAACCATAATATAGCTGCAGCGTGGCTCTGTCATGTATGAAAAAATCAAAACCGTCACAATAAGCAGGGTATACAACTGTCGCAATTAACTATTGCAACTTTTACATATGGTTTACCGCCATCTTTCGGAAATTATTACCGTGTAGTGGCGGTGTAAAAATATCCACTACCGCCTATCGTCCTTTGGGTGTCGCAAGAGGCGACAGAGGGAAACTAAAACAGAAGAAAACTAAATCAGCAATGTCTTTCTAATAACAAGTCAAAATAATAAAAAACTGTGGTTGTCCGTCAACGCACCTGCCAATCGTGGCAACTATGCCACAAATTATACGTGATAGAGCCATACTGCAGCTATTTTAGTAGTATAGTTGTAGCACGAATGGGTCGGCTTGACCGGGGAAGGACCACGCTCTCACAGAATACCAGCGTAAAATAGCAGCTTAATGCTGCTGTGTTTCGTATGGTGAGTGTAGAGAACCGGAGACCCATTTTACTGGAAAAGAGGCATTCCATCTTAGTTCTCACGGATGACGACGTATGTGCATTTTGATTCTTTATTGAGGAGAAATGTAGATGTCTATGGGTCACAGCCACCATTTACCATCAGGTGCCCTGTGTGCTCATTTGTCACCCTATCCTATAAAAAATATACCCACTATGAGGCAATCTATGGGGTAGGCCTATGTTCAGCGGTAGACTTTTATATGATGTAATAAACTGTAACTATGTATCTCTTATATTTTATTACATAATGTTTACAATTACGGCAACACAAAAATAAGTTAAAGTGATTGGTAAAATATGCTTTCAAATCTATACCATAATGAATGAAGAAACCAACTCTAATCAGGAGTCAACTTGAATATTGTAGTATAGTTTGGACGTCTTACAAAAATCATACAAAAAAATATTTCTTAAACATCTAGCTTTCAGCTGCAACAGTCTAAAAACTGAATTCATATTATAAAGAAAGGCTTGTTAACTTCGAGATGTCAACCTTGAGACACGCAGAAAGATGCTTGACTTGGTTTTCCTGCACAAATTAATTGTACTTACTATCCAAAATTGTATTTAAGACCCCAAAAAATTCCCTGGTCTTTACATTATGCTTACACCATTCTATACCAGTCACTGCAGCGCAAACCTTTAGTCACACTACTCAATATCTCGTGTTTACAAGGTTTATGAGGCATATTCTACTGTGCTGGATTAACACAATCTCACTTACTAAAATTAAAATGACTGTGCTCTACATTGTTATGAATAATGATAAATGAAATCTTTTGCTGTATTATTGTTAAATTGTTGATTTAGTTTTGTTTTACAATATACTATAAGTAACTTTACTGTAAATAGTGAGGCATTTACTAGTATTGTTACGGATGTATTTGATTAATTTTAGTGTACTCGCTGTTGGTTAGACAAATAAAATATATTAAAAAAAATATAGAATGGACTATAGCTTGAAGTAAACATAATTATACTTTTACAGTTTTCAGTCATTAATACCAAAATTAACTTAATGGCTTAGAAGGAAACGGTTCCACAGGGAGCATGAACAGTCCAATTTTATTACTATTGTATGACAAAGTCAACATTTAATTTGATTTAGCGTGAAACGTCAGTTTAACTAGATTTACATTTCTAGTAAAAACATAAACACACCCAAACGCGTGTCATTACGTAATTATAGACAAATGATATATTTTACTGACACTAACACGACTATTTATTTATTTATTTATTCTATAAGGAACACCAAAAGCTTTGATACATTTCATTTTTTGCAATATTTAAAATCTACATACCTATTCGCGTATGGAAATATTGGATTAACCGCTCTAAGTAAACTTTAAAACCAATAGGTTAAGTTTACTCTTGTTAAATAATATTCTCATATAAAAACGTAAATATACAGGTTATATACGTGCCGGTGTTAGACAAATGCCATCTCTTATTTAATTCTATTATCATCATCATCATGCCCATTCACCACAATCCTTCACAAATCCATCTTGAAAATAGGTCTCCCCAAACGACTGCTACATATTTAATGATTAAAATAAAATATTTATCTACGTCAAAGGTCCAAGATATAGTGATCGCAAATGTGACTATTATGACTGTCTCTTACTATGGATTAGGCTCAATCCCAACAGCGGACTATTTAGGAGATGATGGGAATTCACTTGTCAATTTAATTGATCATATCAAACTTAAAATACTTCCAAAACGCTTAACAAAAAATGTTACCTCAAGGTAACATAAATAGTACCATTTTATTTCTCAAATATATCGATGTCAACTCTAGATGAAGAATCGATTGACTTTTGAACCGGATGTAAAATTCGATTACAAATGATAAAAACGTGTTCAAATAAACGTTTTACGGTTTTATTAATAAATAACCCAAATTGAGTAATAGTAGAACTGGGTTATTCGTTATCCGTAGTGGCACAAACTCTGTTTAATGTTTATCTATGTCAGTAGTTAGCATCGATTGTTCCAATTTAGTAACGATCAACATGTTTTCGTTATAACAATGGAACTCTCCCGTCCTAGTATCCGATAAAAATATTAAGCTATAAGAGCGGAGGCATAGTTTCTAAGATCCGATAAGCAAATCGGAACGACTTGTGATTTTGCACAATTATTTCACCGATAGGAATAATAACATCGGACCTCCAATCCGCGACATAGCTAGGTATTCTTTTCATTATAAGCCATGTGGTGGCGGTGTATGAAAATTCACCACATATTTTCGTTCGTGGGTGTCGTAAAAGGATACTACGGGAAATTCCAGAAAGATCTCTTCATCCGATCATCTTGCGAAAGCGTCTTGTTTACGCCAGACTTGAAATACGCAAACATTAGAGGCGTTAAAGGTCTGATGCTTTTCTTCTTCCTGCTCTCAGCCGTCATCTCTTCACTAACTCTTTTCTTACGCATATCATCTCTAACACAATCTATCCACTTTGTTAGGCACCTGACCTCCTATATCCATCTACTTTCATGCTCACGTTTGATCGTTAATCCTTCATCATCCTTCGTAGATCCTTTCTACACTGTGAAATGCACAGAGGGGCCAAGTGTTACATTTTTACAATTACTACTTTTAACTTTCCATCATTTATATTCTTATCCTAAAAATACTGTAACAGCCTAGTTATTGTAACATAGGCCTCCCCCATAAATTGCCCGATATTTGCCATAGTTGTCACGCTCGGCAAGCGGGTTGGCAAACACAGTTTCTTTTTCGTTAACAGGATACGCTGCTGCCCATCTCCTGATTTGTTTCCCTCTCGGGATGATATGGGGTAGTTGATATTCTTACACCGCCGTTATTCGGAAAATACTGATGGTACATAAATTATCTCACTGTGACTTAAACTAGAACAAAAAGTATTGCCCTCAAAATTGTACAAACTATATTGATGTAATTTTAGTTAATTTATACATACCATTTAATAAGCGGCGAGAGCAGTCCCTGCTGACTGGGCTGGTTGATGGGCTTCAGTACAAATTTATCGCCTTCTCGCTGTAAAAGTACTAGGCAGTCTTCCAACATCAAAGCCTGTGAAAAAATTTAATGTTTATAACATTTTATTGTAAAAACTTAAGCGGCCGGGCTCTCTTTTTTTCAAGTCTTTCTAGGATAACTTCACCTCAAGAAGTTTTTACCAAAGACTGGCGTACGGAAAAATTACACTGAACTTTACTCGTTAGAAATTCTAATGCTTTACTCAAATGGTCCTTCGAGCCGGATTTAAATCGCTAGTGTGCATTTGCTTTAATTCTACAAGAGCAAAATAGAATATGAAAGAAATTAAAAATAATATGACACTAAACACGATAAAATTCGTATTTTCAAGTTCTTTGCTGACCACAGGCTCCCTCACAGGGGAGATATTTGCTATAGTTGCCAGGATGTCACGCCTGGCAAGCGGGTTGGCATCCGCAGTTTATTATTTTTATTTAGCTGTAATCAGAAAGATGCTGAAGCCCATTTCCTGGTTTGTTTACCCTCTGTCGCCTTGGGTAGTGGATATTCTCACACAGACACTAGATGGATTATAAACGGCACGGCGATAAAATTAGTCATAATTTTATTATTAAGCATAAATCTATAACTGTATGTCTTAAAAAGATGTTTAACGAGTCTCAACTCACCAAAACAGCAACCCGCTTGGTGGAATCGTTCCGCAGGCCAAGTTCGCCCTCGTGACGTAACGAACGAGTAGTGAGGTCTAAACGACGAAGTTCATCCCATTCTGGTCCAGCGCCTGCCCGTACTTCCAGCTTAGTCTGGATTGTTCTCAGCCTGCGTAAAATTGCATTGCCTTTAGTATGCAATAAACATAACCTGTGTTCATTTATTTAATTTTTAGGCACACAGTAGCACATGTGGCTGATTTAATGCCTAACGATTAAAAAATACATTCTGTCACAGTCAAGCATCAGAATAAACAGATATAAACATACAGCTAATATTAACACAAATTCGTTCCTTAGTTTCAACCTCATCCGGAGTCTTGAATTAAAAACATTGCAGCATTTTTAACATAAAAAAATAATGAATACGCACATGCATTGTACGTATACATGCACGAGCTGAATCCTTTCTAAAGGGCCGGCAACGCACCTGAAATTCCCCCGCTGTTGCAGTTGTTCATGGAGACGGTGATCACTTACATCGGGAGAGGCGTATGATAGTTTGCCCCCTCTTCGATAAAAATAAAATCGGGGTGTGGCTGTGTCGTGGACAGGCCGTGTGTTTTAGCTATCGAGTGGTGTAATTAAATTTTGTATGTAGATTGTACATATGTAGCTGCGTAACCGAGCCGTATTCCACGATTTCCCACGCTCTCACAGAATACTAGCGTAAAATTGCAGCTCAATGCTTCCGTGTTTCGTATAGCGTGTGTAGAGAACCGGAGATCATTTTTACTGGAAATGAGGCATTCCATCTTAGTCCTCAGGGGTGACAACGCATCTGCATTTTGATTCGTAATCGAGGATAGATATAGATGTCGATGGGCCACAGCAACCTCTTACCATCAGGTGGACTGTGTGCTCGTTTGTCAACTATACCCTATAAAAAAATGCTGTTGCTAAATGTTTTAAACTAATTGTATAATATATTGGATTGTAAATTATTTTTTTTAATAATAAAATTATTATATTCTGTTCAAAATACCTGTGCTCGTTCTCCGCGGTCCGTATGGCTGTATCGACGGAGTGCAGCACATCCTTGGCTACAGCGAGTGCTCTCCTCACTGCAGAGGTATCCTCTGCGCTGTCCCCTTCAGCCTCGCTCACGGTCTTCAGCACTCCTTCTAGAAGGAGCTGGTACTTCGTTAGCCTGCAAACAAACACATTCTTAATTTCCCTGTCACTACAGCTCGTTAAAATTTTATTGCTGAACATGGTCCTCCCTTTCGCATATATTGTGCTCATACTTGCCCCGTAGATGTCACGCTCGGAAGGCGGCTTGGCTGCCGCAGTTTTTTTTTATTATTATTGGGTTATGGTCAGGAGGAAGACCTTGCAGGTCATCAATCAAGGATCAAGACAGTTACAGTTTGAATCTGTCTCCACTACAGACACCGTCATGCAATAGTCCACTGATGGACATTGGACATTTGCTGCCAGTACAGACACCTACGGGATGATATTATCCAGTAATAGAATCTCTGATATGACATTTTTTTAATTTATCATCTATACTTTCTATGTATCTACAAATAAATAAAATTGAAGTGTTTGTTAATACATACGAAACTATATACGATAATTCAAAAAACAATTTTTAAATTTTTTGTCTGTCTGTATGGTTTGTTTGTTCTATATGTGATCTCCGAAATGGCTCGATCGCTTTTGACGGGACTTTCACTGGCAGATAGATGATGATATGAAAAGTAACTTAGGCTACTTTTATTTATTAAAAATAATTAGGATTCCGCGCAAAAAAAAATTAAAACCCATGAAATCCAATGGTAAATAAATTCACAAAACCGCTATTTTTTCTATAAATCAGCCAGAATCAATGACTTATAGAACAATTTGAATAATACATATTCTAGAATTTAGAGCTAACCATTTACCATACAGGGCTTCATCACCACTTACCATTAAGTAAAAAAAAAAACTTACAAATTTATTAACAATTTTATTTATTACTCAAAAAAAAATCAAAACTACCCACCTTTGCCAAACACAAGCCAGCAGGTCCCTCAGCTGCAAGCGTCCGCACAGCGGCAGTTGTTCGCGGCTGGACAAGAACTGATGCAGCTCTTTATGTTTACGACGTCTCTCGCGTAACGCGTCTAAAGCCATACGTTGACCTCGGCAGAAACGGGATAGGCAGGCTGCATAACCTGAGTCACCCAACTGTAAAATTTTAACAGCTACTGAACTAATTGCTTTTTGTAATTTGAAACAATAAAACATATTCTATATAAAAATGATTACAAACATGCACACGTGTGCATGTGCTGTCTGATAGTTGGGTTAGTGGATAGTGGCTGTTGGGGCGCATAGCGTCCACTACATCTATCTTCAGTTAAGAATCAAAATGCAGATGCGCTGTCACCCCCAAGCATTAAGATTACCTCGTTCCCAATAAAAAGGGTACATCAGTATTAAGTTGCTATTTCACGCTGGTATTCTGTGAAAGCGTGGTCCTTCCCCGGTCAATCCAAACCATTCGACAACCATAATATTAGATGCAAGCATCACGTATATAATATAAATAAATTATATATGATGTTTTATATCACGACGGCCGGTGAACCTTACTTGTAGTTGCTCTTTGTAAAGACGCGTGTACTTGTGTGCGTAAATGTAGGTAGCGTTAGCAAATCCATCGCAGTTGAACATAATAATAATATAATATAAGTTATTTTTAACTACCAAGCTGACTCACACCAAAACAGTGTAGATGGGTACCTACAGTCATAAGTAAGACCAACCCGCAATTGTAAAATAAATAAAAATAGTATATGGCTTTATATATATATATATATATATATATATATATATATAAAGACACAAAAAATTATGAAAAATCTAAACAAAGAACGAATAAAAAGTAATTTAAATCTATTATACCAGAAAAATTAATTACAATGATATTTAATTTACTATAGGTTTTAGGGTTATTTTAGGAAACAACCGTTATTGTTACAGCCTATTAAAGTTCACTATAAGCCTCCCCCATAGATTGTCTAATGGGGGGGGAGGATATTTGCCATAGTTGCCACGCTTGGCAAGCGGGTTGGCAACCGCAGTATTTTTATTTTTAGTCGTTATCAAGAAGACGCTGCTGCCCATCTCTGGATTTGTTTCCCTCTGTCGCCTCTTCGACACCCACGGGACTATATGGGGTATCCATCCATTATAACACCGCCACTACATGGTTAGTAAGGAATTAGAAGATAACATGCTCCATTCCTTACCGTATTCAGTAACGCTTCCGCCACTGGTCGTATTTGGACTATGTGATTGGGAGCCTCATTTCTGGCGGTCCTCAATTCTGTGTACAATTTCGCATGCCTCTCCCTCACTCCGGGCAAATTTGGGAACAGGGCTTTTAAGTCCTCACTGGGTAATAATGAAGGCTGATTGAGGAGTGGTCTATGGAAAACTCCGTCAAGGACTTTCAGCCAGCGGACGTGAGATCCTTCAGACACTATTAATTCTGTTGAGAAAATATAAAGGGAACATTTACAATAAATTAATTATATAACATTTATTGTTAATTAATTATTACTGTTTATATTAATCTTGAAGATATAATATGGTAAGGTGAATAGGCTTTTGTTACGCAAAGTCTGTGCGATTTATCATCGAGGGCTTCATCATCACTTACCACCAGGTAAGATTGTAAGTCAAGCATAAACATAACCATAAAGAAAGTAAGCCTTTTTAAAGTATAAAATAATAAATAATATTAATTGTGGATTTATGAACCTTTCAATATATAATTACTTGAGAAATTGTACAACTAAACTGAAATGTAAGATACTGTATTAATTTTAAATATCTAAAGTAGTTCATAACATGACAATACTAATAATGGTGAGTTACAAATTCCTTATACAAATACATAACATTACAGCCTAGTAAAGCCTCACTGCTAAACATAAGCCTCCCCCATAGATTGCCTTATAGGGGGATATTGCCCCTTGATAAGGTAGTTATACAAAAATAAGTGATATTCATTCTGTAAATACTAGGAACAGACACAAGCTAGTAGTACCAGTTACTCGACTCCAAAGAGTCAGTAATTCATTCTTTGGGCGATATATACGGTTTTACAACCACCCAGAAAATGTACAAAATTTAACCTGCTCAAATTTCAAAAACTTTATTAAACAAATTTTGTATAATAAGGGTTATTATAATATTAAGGAATGTATGAATGATAATAACCCGTAGGAATGAGGTGATCGCTACCAAGCTATTTCTAATTTGTTTTGTGTCGTTAATTGTGATTACATGATTGTAAGGTGTTATTTAAAAAATGTCCCGCTGGGTTTCTCTCTGGTTCTTCCCAGGACAGAGGTTTTTTTTCGAACAAGTAGTAATTAAACAAAAGAATGACTTTTAATAAGTATTATTTATAATCCATATTGAATAAAAAGTTTCTGTTTCTGTTTCTTGGCAGGCGAGTTGGCAACCGCAGTTTTTATTTTTTATTTCTAGTCGTTATTGGGAAGACGCTGCTGCCTATCTCCTGGTTGCTTGCCCTCTGTCGCCTCTTACGACACAGGATAATATGGGGTAGTGGATATTCTCACACTGCCTTTACACGGTAACATATAATAGTAATGAAACACCCACTCACAGCTGGACACAGGCTCTCTCATTTCTGACAGGGTTAATTGGATATATTTTATAGAATAGGAGTGACAAACGAGCACACAATGTACCTGATGGTAAGTGGATGCTGTGGCCCATATAGAGTATATTATATTATAGAGAATAAGGGTCTCCAGTTCTTTACACTCACCATACGAAACACAGCAGCACTAAGCTGCTATTTCACGCTGGTATTCTGTGAGAGAGTGGTGCTATCATTCGTGCCACAACCATGATACAGCTGCAGCGTCGCTCTAACACGTATAAACTACTTACCGTGAATAACCTCCTGCCGTTTCCTCAGCCTCGCAGACAACAGCAATGAGTCCAGCACTTGAGGTGGAAGGTTGTCCGCCCACTGCGCTGCGAGCGGCTCGTCCTCCTCCGACCAGTCTGAATGGGCAGCTATTGAATGTTAGTCTTATAGATCATTTCACATATCATGGCAATTTTATTCAAGTAAATGAAATTCAACAATGAAACTTTATTTTTTAATAAAAAATTAAAGTCATATTTAGAAAAGGAAACAGAATGAAATAATTTTTACTATAGAAACTATTATAGCTTCTCAAGTTGGAACGAAGACTTATTATATCGAAGAATTCAATCCCCCACTTCTTTTTCTTACTCTTATTTAATTAAAAGTTTATTTCTTGCATTTAAAGCAATTCAGAAATTTAGAAATCCACCGTACCCAGTCAAAACTTTAGTTAAAATTGGTGTAATTCATATTTCTTTGAAAATGTCATGGACTTTATACATGGCTTACTTTTTAATTCGGTAAATGAAATTTTTATCGCGGTTTGACAGACTTGTTAGTCTAGTGGATCGTGTCATAATCACTTATAGCATTTTTCTGTCGAAAAATTCTCAGTCAGTTCTAAGCACGTAAAGCCGTTTGCTCCTGCGCCCTATTTATCTCCGGTCTTGTTGGATGCCGTCATATCAAAGGAATATAAAGAGCTTCTGTGCTTGCTCACTATAATCCTATCCTAGGCAGATATTGAGCCGCTGTAACTGAAATTTACTCTGGAGAAAATCTTTACTACGGTAAAATAAAAGTTACTTGCTAAAAATAACCAAGCAGGCGTTTCTGTTTCTAGACTAAGCCGCGAATATATGCTAATTAATAGTAAAGAAAGCTAACCTTGCTGTTCAGCGGCAACTGTATTACTCTCATTGCTTCTTGAAGATAAACTGGAACTGCTGGAGCTGCCAGACGGCGCCGTCGCTGTCCCAGGTTCCAAATCACTGAAAAGAAAAAAAAAATTTTAATTATAGCTTATTAAAACAAAATAAACTTCTATCGTCATACATAATTTCTGAATTTCCGAAATACCCAATTCAGACTTAATAAGACGAAGTACCGATTTTCAATACTCAGTTAAAATTAATTCATATAAAAAAACATAAACAAATAACAAATTACAATTTCGCGAATAAAATAGTATAATTGTTTCCCGTTTTATATTTACTCAGGTTATAATCTGTTTGACAGATAACTTTTAAGTAAGAATCTAGCGATTAAAAATCGATCCTCATGATACCATCATTCGGCAAATAAAATATTCAACTATCAAATATCGAACACTTCATGCTAATAAACAGAGAAAATCAAAGGCAGGCCCGAAGGAAACCGCTAAGCAAACATCGACGGGAAGTAGTAAACGTCTAATTTTGTACTCAGTACCAATCAATGTAGCAAAACGCTCGTACCTAGAAGGCACACGTGTGACAGATTCGGAGCATAAACCTTGACATTTAGGGCCAACACGATATGGTTGCAAAACAAAATTAGGGTTGTTTATCGTTGTTAGACTCCGCAAATAGCAAAGGTTTAAGAGTTAAAAGGCGAGGTATTTTTTATGCAATAAACGAAGTGATTCAATTCATTCATGAGATTTTTAGATATAAAATCATTGTTGAAAAAATCTATTTTAATGCCTATATATTTTTATAGATTAAATGTGACAAAAGAGCACACAGTCACAGTCTACGTGATGGTAAATAGGTGCTGCGGCCTATAGACATCTAAATCTATTCTCGATTAATAGTATAAATGTAGATTCATTGTCACCCCTGAGCCCTGAGCACTAATATGAAATGTATGGTTGCCAGTAAAAGAGTTCACAGGGTTATTTCTGCTGTTTAACGCTGGTATTTTGTAAGAGCGTGTTCTCCCCAGTCGATCCGATCTATTCGTGCAGTAACCATAACATAGCAGCATCGTGGCTCTACCACGTATATAATATAATAAACCTAATATTTGCTTGACCAATTCTAACGTGATAAATTACAAAAATACGAAGCTATTTTAGTTATTTTTCTTTTCAATGTGTGTTTATTTCATCTTTCAAAAATTGAAAACCATTTTTAATAGCATCGAGTTGAAGTCTTCCACTATACGCTATTTTGAATGTTTATGTCAAAAGCTTTTATTAGAATTTTCTATGTGAGAGAAGTATGACATCAACGGGGTGGAACGGGGTGTTGATGCAGTGGAATCAACCCCGCAAAGTTCCAAGAAACCATTACGTTGCTTCACGTGGGAGGATGCCGCTGTCAGTTAATGTAATTGACAGATATAGCAGCTAGTCAATATAACTTATATTGCACCCTACCCCTAGGTTAACATCTGGGTCACCTACTTTTTAAATTATACGTAATTTCTTTGGAGTTCATTAAAGAGATTACTGGTTTATATACGTATGCCAATGATTTTAGATAACGTTTACGGTTTCACAGTCTTTTCAATTCTTTAAAATATTTGAACACATCTAAGAGAGAGAACCAATGATATAGTTTTATTTTAACAGATTAGTTTATAATTTTAAAGCAATAGGACGTCAATTAAATATCGAGTAACGTGAACAAATTATGTGTGATAAGAGAAAAGTACGGATTGCAATATGATGTGATCAGAATTAGGAAAGGCATGCTTAGATAGTCTGGTAAAGTAGAAAGAATGAACGAGGAAAGGGTGAAGGTTTTTATTGCAGAAGTGAATGACAGAGTAGGCAAGGGACGCCCTTGACGAAAGTCTTACTAAACAAATTGGCGATATATTGACGGTGGGCCAAATAAAGTGTACCCTTGACCAACTTTGTATGCGTAGGTATATGAATGTGAAGGAGGCGAGAGATATGTCGGGATCATGCAAAATGGAAGTCTATAGTCTCTGCCTGTCCCTTTGGATCAAAATCGTGACTGTTTATGTATTATGTCAACAAATTTTATGTTACAGTTCGACGCATATGAACAAAAATAACAAAGCTCGCTCAAAAACGCAGACACAGCCAAAAACAATTATCATAATCACCCGCAACGTAACGAACGATAAGGCTGGAAACGTTTAAACGGATAGACGGACTGCCGCCATGAAAATATTCCAGTTTAGATTATTGTACGAAACAGAAACCAGACAGTCAGATTAAAAAAAAAATGAAAAGGAAAATCGAAACAATTGTCAATCAAATATAGACCTTAAGAAGTAAGAATGGAATTCATATTTGTACATTTAAGTAAGTGTACCATCGTCATAACTTCCACAAGTCACGATTCTGAGGCACTTGACTTTTCCTTAAAGACCAACATTGAAATTACAATCCCATCAGGTGGTAGAGCCAAGCTGCAGCTACTACTCGTATTATGGCTGCAGCTCGAATCTGTTGGTTAGGAAGGATCCTCAGAATACCAGCGTAACATGTCAACATAATTTTGCTATATTTTGTATGGTGAGCATAGAGAACCGAGCCTTTGTTATTGGTGGTAGGGCATTCCGTGGATAGAATTTGGTATCTATGGGCCACAGTATCCGCTAACCTACAGGTGGACTGCGTGATCGTCTGTCACCATGCCTACGTCGACATTTCTCATACATGAACAATCGCTTCTAAATTTCGTCGAGGTAAGTTGACTGTCCTTGTTAGGTAACTGGTCGTAAACACGACAGTAATTGATTATGTGGTCCCCGCCAAAATCAGTTACTGGGTTTTCCGTCTAGAAATTCTCTTTGACAGCCCTGACTTAATGACTAAGTTTGCCGTGTTCCAACCCTGTGCCTCGGAAAGCACGTAAAGCCTTTGGTCCTGCGCCTGATCTCTCTCCGGTCGTGTCGGTTTGCTGTCCCATCGGACTATGAGCGTGAGGTAATAGAGAGTACATCTGTGCTTGCGCACACGCTTGTGCACTATAATCCTGTCCTGCGCAGATGGCTAGTCTCCGCCATGCTAAATTCGACTTGGCAGTCATTATAGTTATTTATTATTACAAGGTTGTTCTCCGAGTGTGTTTCCTGCCCCTATCTGACAGTTATCGGTTTTATGAGTTACGTGACTGGATTATTGCCACTTTAGCTTATTGACCCTATTTATATTAGATATATAAATAATTATTTCAATTACACTTCCAAATACCTCTCCGACAGCGTCCTCCTCGCCAGCATAGCGATCGTCGGAGGCTGTCTCCCTGCCGGGAGGGAAATGTTCCTCGATACTCTTGGGGGCGCTGGGGTCGCCATGGCAACGTTACACTAATATTATTTAACAACACTTGCTTATCACCAACACAAATCACATTTTGTCCTTCCGCACTTATCTTGTTTAGATATTGTTTAATTTAGTTTATTGAAACCAGAAACACTAAGAACATTCAAATAGATTATTTAATAACTTTAAATAGGATTGAAGTTTTAAAACCAACAGTTTCGTTTACAGTTTTTAAAGAAACAAAATACAAACTTATTTCGTGTTATCCCGAAGCTTTAGTTTTTATTTTCGTGTACCTAGCTAGCTATAGCAAGACGTTGTTCAGCCCTTTCCGACGACCCTTAACCCTACAAAAAATTCTTAAATTCGCAATGAAATATATTGAGGGTCACTTATCGGCATAAAAACTATCCTATCCCACGAGAGGAGCAAGCAATACGAATTTGAAAATCGGTTGAGTGATTTAGGAGCTTTGCGTGAACAATCATCGTGAACCGAGATTTTTATATGTCTTACGTGGTAGGGCGCTGCAGCTATATATTAGTAGTATAGTTATAGCAAGAATAGCTCGGCTCGACGGGGAAGGATCACATCTCTCTATTAAAAAAAATAAGTGCGCCTAACTTGAATTATATTATAGAATTATATATAAGAATATTGATGATATTTTAACTTTTAAGGACTTTATTGACACGGTGTAGTGGTGGTAGCTTAAGAAAACCTTCTACCCAATATCTTATGTGACCTAAGTTTTATAGAGCTAAAATTTAATAATGTAATTTTTTTTATTAATGGCTGAAATGCCGAACGAACTTTCAGTCCATCTGCAACAGACTTCAAACAATGAAGGCTAAAGAGGGCGATACCTATCCAGACGGACTCCTAGAGTGTAAAGGACTTCCACCACCTAGTATAGTGGTAGATACCTGGAAAATAATTCGTACACAGATAACTATAAACTAACACTGTACATTCAGATTTTAACGCTATAATGCAATATTAAAAGCACTATATCTTCGAAATAAATCACGTTACCATATACTCGAGTCGGTGCACAAAAAAATTCCGCTCGTATGTTATATTCGCGAGACGCCGCTTCATAAAAATTGTTTAAATTTCGCTAATTTATAGCTTCTAGTGAATTTTTATTTACGTTTACCGATTCCTCACGTCCGATGCGACGTGAAAATTTTATGAGTGCACACTAAACAGAGCATGTTAAGATGGTTGTACACTAGTGTAGTAATTTACTGAACGTCAAGAACAATGAAAAAGATACATAAACGTGAATCGCCACACTCCCAGCGTAAAAAAGCAGCTTAATGCTGCTGTGTTTCGTTGGGCGAGTGTAGAGAACCGGAGACGCATTTTACTAGAAACGAGGCATTCCATCTTAGTCCTCAGGAATGACAATGCATCTGCATTTAGATACTTAATTGAGGGTGTAGATGTCTATGTGCCACAGCATACACTCACCATCAGGTTGACTTTGTAACTCGTTTGTCACCCTTATACTATAAATCAATATTTTTAAACAGCTAAGAACCTGCTCGCAGTGATCTAACTAAAATTAAATATATTTCGTAATAATATAATAATATTTAGATAGGTATAACGTCATTTATTGGCATAAGATAATCCACTACACCGTTCCATTCCGTGGGTGTAATCGTAAGGAGCGACGGAGAGTAATGAAACAGACGACAGAAAGCAGGATCTTCCTAGTAACAACTTAAAAATATTTAAAAAAAAAACCGCTTGCCA